CAGGAGGTTGGCGCCGGAGGGTGGGGACGGGGTGGGGAAGGTGCGTGAGAGCTTCAGCACCTGGCGTGGAGTGCCGCGGGTGTGGTGTAGGTCCAGGCACGCATTTGGGGGGGCAGGGTGGTGGTGTGGCTTGTCATTTTTTTTAATTCTTTTTTGTTTTGTTTTTTCTTGATGAGACAGGGGGTTAGGATCTAGGCTGAGAAACGTGACTTGTGGATGGACACGTTGACGAGATGGCTTTCAGAGCGTAGACGTAGAAAGACCTGCCTTGCAATCGATGGAGTACAACAATGCCAGAATGAGGCAGAATCTCAGGAATGAGGATTGATCGACTATCCTGGTTCAGACCGGTTGTTGCCTGAATAGGCAACAGGATTTAATAGTCCCTAGTACTTATCACGCACGACAGCTGCCAGTGAGCGTCAAGGCTTAACTTCCACGTCTTCTATTCCCCGGTCGAAGGATCAAAAGGATTCGAACTAAGACCTCATCCTGGGCCTTCTAGCAGGGGGATGCTTACAGGGTAGCTAGTGCTAGTGTGCTCTTCTACTTTATCCTGCACAGTTTCACGTAGTACTACGTAGTACGTATGCAGGCGGAAGCTTGAAACCAGCCCCTGCCTCGCTGAGTCATCGAAAATGTTCTCTCGGGCACCCGGAATTGATGCGTAGGTATCACTTGAACCAAGTCGACCGTGTCTCATCTCTGACGTTCGTGAGGGAGTACGGTGATTCGGAGTGCAAGGCCTTTAAACATTCCTCTGGGCTGGGCTTCTCGAGGCTGTGTCAGCTTCGTCGCCATCAAGGGTATCTCGTTGTGTCTTCATTCGTACAATTTGGGAGAGACTGTGTGGAGTTTTGGCGGTTTGATTTGGTGAGTAAATCCCAGGAGCCTTGTTGCTGTTGTACAGCTATTGGGAGTGGCCGGAAGCATGGCGTTTCATGGGCCGAGCGATCCCTGAGTCATGCTGGTCACACCGTTTAGCCAAGTGCGTGTTACGCGTGCCCCTGTTCCGCCCTTTCCATGCACCCCTTCACATTCCTCTCCGTGATACCAAATATGAGGTGTGAGGCGCTCCTACACGTTCGATCACGATAGGCTAGATCCCTGAAACCAATTACTCAATCAGGCATTCTTTCACGCTGATTGATTAGTGTGAGCAGGACAAGTCCGAGATTGCAACATCGAGGCCAAGACACACAACCGCTTCTCTGCTCTTTATTGAGACAGCAGAAATAGGGATGCATTCCAACGATAACCCGTCCACATATTTTGCGCTTCTCAACTCCTTAACCGGGAGAACAACGTGCCTTTCCTACTCCAGCCAAGAGGCTGTTCCAACAACTCTTGCCCCTGTGCCAAAATTTCAACGAATTGAGAGAAAGGAACCCCCCTTTTCTACTAGTAGGTGCGAGAACCCATGTCCTATGTATTAGGATTTCGAAAAGCCAGATCCCTATAATGTCATTTTCTCAATATCTCGGCCGTTGCCAGAATGATAAGTCAGGACGTCTTGGTACAAGTGATGCGAAACCTCCGGTCTTTGATTTTAATGGCGTCCGTACGCTTTCAAAATGGGTCCTCTGGACCTTTTTCGTTGGGTGGTGGTACAAGGTGTGGAGAAGTTCGGTTGTGATGAATGCGAAAGGTATCTGGTTGTATGAGGATGGAATGACTGTGGCGCCGACGGACAGAAAGAGGTGTGCGTAGCAGGTGTTGGGCAACGAGAGAAAAAGAGAGAGAAGGGGGGGATTAAAACATGTAGATCTTAAAGCACGCAAGTCTGAAGGTTCTCCGAACACCTCCCGGATCATTAGTGTCGAGAGGACACTGGTTTAGGGCAGAGGGCCTCGCCCTTTCGCCTTCTCTTGCTTGTGGGCTGGTTGGCTGATAGCTAAGCTGAACACTGTAAGAAGCAACGCGGCTACGGCCAGCGTTCAGAAACAGCAGAAGACAACCATTTCAAAGAGAGCATGTTAGACTGGTGCATTTTCAAGTAGTTTGATGTTAATCTAAATAGAAATGACTATAAGATCGTCGCTTGTATTTCCTTGTTTCAGTCCTTTTTTCGGGTCCGGCTCGCCCATACATTCAATGGTACGTCTGTTTTTGGCTGAGATTTGGCCTCGGCAGCACTGGGCTGAGGCGGAGTAAGAGTAGTAGTAGCAACGGTAGTGATGGTATTGCCAAGATGACGCATCTTCGCTGTGCTAGCTGGAGTGGTTGGAGTGGCACCAGTTCCACTCAAATTGGCTTGAGCAGTCCTACCTTCAACAGCCCTACCCAGAGTCGGTTTTTCTGGAGTTCGTCTCTTCCGAGACGGATCGGAAGGTCCCGGATCGGAAGGTCCCGGATCAGCAGGGCCGCTGGCTCGGTCAGCAGCGGCCTCGGCCGGACCAGCTTCTGTAGACGGGTTTGGAGCCCTTGAGGGACCGGTGCCAGCAAGCTCTCTCCTTTCTTCGTCGACGACAAGTTGGTATTGGCAAAACAAATCTCTTCTGCTCTGGTCGGGGGTGTCGACATCAAGAGCGTTCAGACGCGCCTGCAATATCTGCAAGCGTTTGCTAGGATCAGGTTCATTTTGAAAGGTCTGCTGGATCTCAGCAGCATAATAAACTCCTTGCTGCCCGGCCACTTGTCTCATAAGCGGGCTGTAGGAGGCCTCGAATTCCTCTTGCAGCCTCGTGATTTTGTTGGTACTCTCATTGAGCATGAACATAGCGCGTTTTCGATACTGATTGATATAGTAAGCGCCCATGAGCCTTTCAGTATTTGAATCGGCGCGTGCAAGCCTCTCCCGCGCTAATTTGACTTTGGGTGTGTTATTCCGGATATCCCTCAAGAGCCAAAATCTATACAGGTCCATTGGTCGCTTAAGGCCGACTCCGCGGCTGGCCGGAAGAACTCCTTCACAAGGCCCAAGTATGACTGCTATTTCAGGGGAAACACTTGGTCTGGGATTGGCTGGGTTGAGGTTTATTGGTAGTGGTGCCGAGGTTGTTCGCGCAGCTTCGACTCTGGCTGCTGAGGTCGATGGCTCCGCATGTGCCGACGGGGTGTGCTTTGGCATCCTCTTATCACGGGAAGGTGGTTGAGGTCTGTCACCTTGGCCAGACATGATTAATGGATCTGATATGTGATAGATATGGCCCTAAGCACGGTAAGTCTCAAGGCAGATAAGCGCAACAATAGCGAAGATAGATCTTTCTTTTGATAGGATTCATAACATGGAAACGGGTAACTTCTATTGACGATCAGCACATTCCGTCCCTCTTTTTATTATAATAGGGAAAAGAAACTATGCCGTGATACTCTCTCTGAAACGTGGTTGCGAGCTTCATATGTACTCATCCCAGCTATCCTTGTCTGGACTAGATAGCTACTACAATGTAACCTGCATTGTAGATATTGGTTTTGTCATAGATCTGTTGGAGATATGAAAAGACGGCCGCTTGGGGTATTCTGGTGGTTGCTGCGACGGCTGCAGTGTCAGGTTGAAAAGTTGAGTTTACATACTCCGTACATATTTCTGGAATGGGTTTCAACCAAGTAAGTTACGCCACAGACCGTATGGAGTTAGTAATAACAAAGGCGAGCCCAGAACAGCCTAACTTGGCTTGTCAACTGCAGTGGGGGGACGCAAAATATTTGCTCACCATATGCACTAAATGCACTGCTGCAACAGTGTTCTGACTTCTGATGTTCCATAGCGAGATGGTGACAAGCAACTGTCCACTATAAGACGTGGCCATCGTAGCGCCGCTCTGTCTAGCATTCAAAATCCATGTGCTTTTCAAGCTCGCTATTGCAGACCCGCGCCCCCTTGCCGAATGTTACTCAAGTGTGTCTGAAGGTCGAGAACAGATGTAGCAAAGTGAAAGTTGATGTCTTGTACCTTGTACGAGAAGGACAACCTCAAAAGCAGAATTACACATCAACTATCTGTGAATGAGATTGACCATTTCCTCGCCAAATCACTCCTCCAAGATGTAACGAGCGCCATTTGGGTGCGTTCTCATACTACGTGCACTTCTGCGAAACCTTGGATACAAACAACTGTAGATGTGCGGGTTCAGGAACCTTGAAGGCTGTAAGCCTTGGACTACTCCAAACACCATCCACATTAGGCCAATATGGCTTTGACTCCTCTGTCCATTGTCTGTCTCAAGCCGCGAAAAGTAATAGTACAAATCTAGCCGCAGCATAAGCATGATCTTACTCAACTCGGGTATTCTCTTCTTCATCTTTTCAAGATGTTTCAAGAACTTCCTTCGCAACCCGCTCACCCGACCGAATAGCACCATCCATATATCCTATCCAATACGGAGCCGATTCCGTTCCAGCAAAATGAATGCCCTCAAATCCCTGCTGCAGCGCTGGACCGTGCTGCGTGAGAACTCCAGGCGGGGCGAACGCTACAGGGCCGCCCCGTGAGAACTTCTCATTATCCCATCTCTGGATGACCCACGACGTCGGACTCGCGGCTTTCGGTCCGAAGTAATTGACAAAGTCCTTAACAACCTCAGCTTTGATCTCGTCTTCAGATTTCGCGTCGAATTTGCGCATCTGGTCGGCTGCGATAAACCCCAACATCGCGCCGTATGAGCCATCCTCCGGCGAACTGTCGAATGTTGACCGCACGATCCCAGTGTCGCTTGCAGCCTGGCCGTTCAAGCCATCGTCACGCCAGAACGGAGTGTCGTAGAGGGCGACTGCTTTGCCCATCGAGCCCATTGGGAGCCTCTGCGTTAGCTGATCACGGATTGCAGGCAGGATTGGTTCATAGTCGATTCGGGCGGCAAGTGGAGGCGACATTGCAATCACGACCTGCTTGGCCCGTAGCGCGAGGCCGTCAGCTGTGACTTTGTAACCCTCGTCTATTCTCTTGATATGTCGCACTGGCGTGCTTAGGGAAATGTGTTCCATGCCTAGCCGCTCTGCCAGCCTAACAGCGAGCAGTTGCGTGCCACCTGTCACGCGCCGGTCCTGAGCCCCACCAGCTGTAGCCGTCAGTCGCTCAAAGGTCCCTGGAGTCGTCTCGTTGCCTGCAGCGGCAATATAAGCAAGTGTGTACAGGAGCGAGAGGTCACGCGGTTCCGCCGCGAAGATCGAGGTTGTCGCAACATCGAACAAAAAACGTGCTGATTGGAGCGGAGTCGCATTGTCGAGCCACGAACCAAAAGTCATACTATCCCACTCAACGGCTCTGGGATGGGTCCATGGTGCAGAGGCGTTGATCTCCAGAGCCATGCTATTGAGCTCAGCCAACGCCGTGGCCAGCTGAATGAGACTAAGGGTATCGATGGGTGGAGCGACATCAGGACCGGCAGTCGAGTAAGTCAACCTCGTGCCATTGTGCCACAACACATTCTCGCCGGTGTTGTACGTTGCGAATGTCCCAAGGCCGAGCTCCGCTGCAAGCGAAATAACACGGTCCTGCGTGGGTCCAATGAACTCTGCGCCAGCCTCGATGATGCCTCCGTTGGGAAGCTCAACGTTGAGAACTCGGCCGCCAACTCGGTCACGTGCTTCGATTACCATAACTGACTTGTTTGCGGCGGCGAGCTGAACTGCAGCACTCAGTCCCGCCAGCCCGCCTCCGACGATTGCCACATCAACCGCTTCTGGTGCGGTACAGGCGAGTGTGGATCGTAAAAGGCCTGCCACAGCCCAGAGCAGAAGTAAATGCATCATCAGGATCACGAGAACGGATATAGACTATTCACTGGCTAGACCAATAGCGCCGGAGGAGATTGTGAATGGTTGATTTAGATCTGATGTTACGCTGGAGCTCTTAATATATGTATTAGATTCGTGCTGAGCCCGTATGAGTTGCAACAATCCCACGGTTAAAGTTTTGCTGACGCATGGTCTCATCAGACGACATATCAGCCCACATACGAAGTACGGAAAGACAGACAGGCAGACAGACAGAACCGTGGATTCGCTAGGTTAGCTGTTGCCTGGGCTCATGTGCTTGTGTCATGCTTTCTAGCGCAGCCCGTCGCGCTAGTCAGGAGATTGTTCCTCTATCCTGCCTTCCCGTGTACTACGTAATATCACGTTTTCATCTTACGTAGTATGATCTGGTTGGAACTGATGCCGCTGTCCTATTCGTATTGAGAGATCAGTCGATGATGGAACGGCCCGAAGGAGCCCTAGATCCTGTTCGGGCTAGCTTATTAGCCTTGGGACTTGGCATGGCGATTAACTAGCATGTTGAGACCAAGACGAAGGATTTGAGTTTGTTGCCGTCTCTTCCCTTTATTTCCCTGGAGCGGCCAGAACAATTTTTCGGCTCAGTAACTGGCGGGAAGAGTTTGAGATGGTAGATGGACTTCTGGACAGGTCTTTATACAAGACCTTATATCGCAAGGGTGCATCTGGTCCAAAGACATCCGTGATGGCTCGTTCCAATCTCCTCATCCCTCTAATTCCGCAACATCGGCGTCGCATCCAGGCACCTCCATCGGTGACGTCCTATCCCTGTGGCCTTTCACCATAGTGTCACCCAAAAGCTGCTTCTCATGCCTGGTGCAACCGGCGAGTCCCGTTCGCTCGGCCTGGCTTTACCACTGTCTCGCTTGCCGGGCACTTCGGATCGAGTTCGGACTTCTCAAATAGCTGTTGCGTTGCATTCTCCCGCCCCTTTGCATTGGCAGTAGCGACGTGACCTTCGCCGCTGGAAGTAGAGGACAGTAGCAGCCGTCAGAATCAGGACTACCATGGGGACGCCGATGACAGTCCCGATGATCGTGACTGTGGCTATTTTGTCATCGTTCTTTCGTGTAGCGGATGATCTTCAGTTTGCGACTGCACTTTGTGAAGGATCAAGAATCGGGTTCCGTTGCTTGGTAACTTTTGTGTCAGGGGAAGACAGCTTGAGACTATACTCTTAGAGATATATAAGGCAACAGCAGTGCAAACTCAGTTTCTGCTCAATATCTGTCCTTTGTCACAAAAGAGCTTGGAAATGCTAGGCTGTGGATTATTAAAGTTCGTTAAGTTGGTACCGTAAGGGAAAAGCCTGAGCTTGTCAATGTGGACGTCGTTGCTTGCTACACCGACGATGACAGAATTACCGACGAAGGCTCCTCCACTGTCTGCATGAGACGTTACAAATATGCCGAAACGGAATCGCCTGTTTCCGCTATAGCCGGAACCGATCTCAGCTGCCAAGGGAAGCCCATATAAACCATCTTCAACCCAGATAAATGAAGTGTTGAGGTTGAAGATACAACCACACAGATTAGGGCATCTAGAAGAATTCTCGGCTGAACAGGCTGCAGCGACCAATAACCTTAGCGATGAGCCGGAGCTTTGAAGGCAGTACTCGAACTGCTTGGGCTGGTGATCCGTTTTAAATGGTGGAAGATGACCATGGGCCATTGCCGCCCCTGAAATAGTATCAGGACATACATTTTGACAGCATACGACAGACATACCAGTTGGTGCTTGGCGGGATGCTGATTGGAGCAGGAGTAAGCTGATACGCGCTCGCGAGGTTGGGAAAGATGGAGATAAACCGCCAAACAGGGGTTTTCGGTATGGCCAGTCATATAAAGGCTGACCATGATAGATGGTATTTCAACACCTGTCAGAATCAAGGTTCAGATAATGAAAGCGTGCATTCATACTGAGACAGACTGCACAAGCTCAAGGCGAAATATTTAAGGACGATCTGGCAGCAGAAGACACAAGTCCTAAGTTGAATGAAGAAGAAAGTGCAATGCTAAGAACCATCCCACATGGCTGGCGCATGCGCAGGAGATCCATGTTATCGCTTTATTAGTGGTGGGATGCCAGAGGCAGACTACATCGTCCACGGCCACGTCCTGCTGAGGACGCATGATTCCTGCCAAAGAACATGGATATGTAGGTCTCTCAGGGGCAGTGCCCCAAATACTGTTGTCTCAAATCCTCAGAGGTGTGGTACGCCAATAATTTAGCCAGCCCAGACTCGTGAAGATGTGACCCTTCGCGGCAAGGTTTGATAGCTGAAGGGGAATTATCTTATCTTGGAGCATTCCCTCCAAGACTCAACCCTTGTATGGCTTCTGTATCGCATACTCAACTCTGGACGGAGATTCAGAAGATGGAACCCTAGACTAGCATGTGTACCAGAAACATAGATTTATCGTGTTACTGGTGTTACTGGTGTTACTGGTCGTGATGCAACGAGTTTGGAAGTGTCCTGAGAGACATTGTCACGTGTGTTACGGTTGGCGCCTTGGCACTGCGGTCCTTAGCTTAAATTCCACCCTTCAAGGTCCAATGCAATCTCTCGTCCTCCTCCACAGAATAATGGATTTGTTTGAAACCGTTACCATCAAAGAAAGTTCCCTGCCCTTGTGAACCATCAGTTTTCTGGCCCCTGCGTGAAGATCAGGCTATGGCGGCTTGAACAGCCTCTTTGCGTCAGCCGATGGCGGAGCAGACGGTTTGAGGACTTTGGGGTTCATATGGCGTGTTAGAGAACGACCATAAACAGTGTATGAGCTCTGAATGGCTTTGGAACTCGTTCTGAGATTGAGATAGAAGGCCCTGGTATACTCTAAGAAGGTATAAGTTGAAGAATAAAATTTTTTAACCTTATGTGCTACGAAATTGTGTGCTGGACGATTTAATGACACATGAATTTCGCTATTAGGAGATCAACCCCAACTATGTAGATGATGGATTTGGGACAAATCTTAGCATCTTACTCCCCTCAATCTTTCCTTAAGAATTGCTGAGTTTCAAGTGTCGATAGCCGACTAACGGTGCCTAAACGCCCCTCTTCTCGCCTCTGCTCTGCATTCACCAGGTGCGCCCAAGACTGCCAAGGTAATGCCCAAGCCGTTCTGACTGAGAGATGTTTCAACGGGCAAAATAGTTCGCTTCGGTATGTACTGCAAGGTGACCGGTATTGAGACTTTTAACATGCATGGGCACATGACACAAGCACATCCAATGCAACAATATGTGCTTTCATACAGACAGTTGCGCCGCTGAGAGTCAAATCTGCCTTGATTAAGCTGCAGACACTTGAATCCACTCTCTCCAATCTACCTATTCCTCCAAGTCACCACTATGTCCGGATACTCGGGTTATGTGACGTCCTTGTTCTCAAGCAACTCCTCCAATCAACAGCCTGCGCAAAACCAGAATCAATATAGTCAACCCTCTTACCAATCACACAGACAACCTCATAATCAATACAACACCTACAATCAACCTCAATCCACCTACAGCAACTCCTCTCTTCCTGCCCAAAACTACCCTACCTCCGCTCAACCAACAACCACAGCCAGCAGCACTAGCAGCTGGACCTCCTCCCTCTCCAGCCGCCTAGCCAACCTTCGGAAAGGCCTGACCGCTTTCTCCTCAGCCGACGAGAAGGACGATCCTGATTCTGAAGACTCCAGCCACATTTCTACCGTCCTGCGCGCATACTATATCGAAAAGGGTCGGCCATTCCCACCCTGGCTACCTCCCGATCCGAAACATCCATCACCACAACCGGTCATTCAGCAGCCGCAACAGAGTAATTACGGGGGATATGCTGGATATGGTGCGAGCCAAAACGCATATGGCCAGCCTACACAACGGGGCTCTAGCGGAGCCAGCAGTGGAGGAGGAGGGGGCCTGACGGATCTTTTTGGGACCAGCAGCACGAGCCCTACGCCGCCACAGTCGGCAAGCCAATCTCTGCGCAATAGGCCAGGCCAGCGACCTGTACCGCAGAGCCTTGGTTCTCACGCAGCCAGTCCACCGCCAGAGCAGCAACAGGCACTCAATACCCGTCTGTTGCCCAGTCAGAGAGCTGGGAGCTATCAGCAGCAGCAGCAGCAACAACAGCAGCAACAACAACAAGGTAGTATTGGGTCAGCGGGGGGCGTTGGATCAAGAGATCGCTTGCGAGCACGACTTCAAGGCGGTGGAAGTGGGAGAAATAGTCCAGTTCCACTTGTATCACCAAGTGGTGGAGGAAGCTACTCTAGCCAGGGTAGCCAGGGCAGCGGCAGCGGGAGTTACGGACAGAGTGCTTATGGTGGCACAGGTGCAGGAGGTGCACCATATATCTCATCGTCACAGCCGTGGTCCAGTGGAGGAAATGACGGAGCTTTTGGGGGCGGTTATGGTGGCGGCGGAGGAGGAGCAGGTGGATACGGAAACGATCCAGCACCAACACCAGCTCCTGTTAGACGACAACCACCCGGTGGCATGGGACTACCTAGTGGACCTCGACTGAAGCCTGGAGGCCCGCGATGACATCGTTCAAATGACAAAGAGAAAAAGCGACGGCGCGTCAGATATCAGCAAGCCGTACCCCTTGAGCGATTCGGAAGGCTTCCAGATGAGCACGTTTGGAGCGGGACGATGCGTCTCCTGGCCATTATTGCCTGTGTTGGCGCATCCGCTCAGCAGATCTGCTACGTCATCAAGCAGCAACCTTCCAACACCTCTATCAAGCTGTTCCTGTCGTTCCGATTGCCAAACACGGAGAATTGCAAGAGAGGGCGAAGCATCTTGCTCGCCTATATCGTGATCATGCTTCCATGGGGCCAAAACAGAGACCAGTCATCTGTCCTCTCTCAAATGATCGACATAGCATGACAATGCATTGCCGAACATCCTTTTTGCCGCTCATGCCACACCACTCCCTCCCTCTCATGGATACCAGAAGGCGTGACGTGTACATCTCAAACCCCAGTACCACACCGAGAAGAGTATATCAGACCATTTGAAGTCGGAGCAAGTGTGGAGTCTAGTGTGATGACAGATCAATTCATGCGCATTCCCTGTTCTCCTTACTGCATGTATACGGCGCAAATACAAGGTTCTTTGTTCCTCTCAAGTGTTCGTGATATGCTGCGTGGAGAAGGGGCTGTAAGGTCAAGTTGCTCGTGTCTATCGGGAGGCTTGCCTACTCATGGTTTTACAAAACATTACACAGATAGTACATACCATGCCAAACTACACAGTCACAATATGCGGTTATGTAACGGCATGTGAGCTGGATCTTCTATGGACTACGTGCGGGACCGAAGTTACTACCTAAGTACATCACTGGTTCTGCTAGCCTAGCAAGATGTCTACGCAAATCGTAACCTTGTCAACAACAATTCAAGCAAGATGCTTTGGAAGTGTGGTGATAAAGATTGTTAGTATAGGAAAGGTGAGTATCACCGAATCGGAAAACGCTGGTGATGAACCAAACGTAAAATCATACTCATCCTCTTCCTCTCTCTAACTGATTCCCGTGTTGGTGCTACCGGTCATACTTCTGCCACTCCGCTCGTTGACTCTCCATTCAGATGGATCTCTGCGATGCCATTTGTCAGCCCGTTCACCTTGTATTTTTGACCCCGTTTACAGCAGGTGCATCCGGCAGAGCACACTCGACAACGACCAATGGCCCCGTTTCCGGCGTCTGCTATAACTTTATCAGCTTCAGCTCTGCCGACTCGACAAGCGTTTCCCAGTCCTTCTTGGTTCGCTCCTTAGCACCAATCGTCACCATCATCAGGTCGAGCCAGACGGCGTGCGAGTCCTGGCCCTGTCACCGGTTCGGGCAACGCCATGTCGGAGATCAGTATTCTCGAATTAGGCGCTATGGCGGGGTACGATACTCATGAGAGTTTTGCGTGCCTCGTCATCTAGCCAATCGTGGAAGACGCAGCGGATGTAGTAGATTTGGGCGCCTTTTTGACTGGCTGTGGCGAGAAGAAGTCGTGTTCCATTCTCTCAACTCCTGGTAGGTCTTCGGCAGTGATGGCGTCAAGGACTTCCTTCCAGTCCTGGAGGACCATTTTGCCCTGTAGAGTTGGGCAGCCCTTTCTCGGACCGAGCATGGCTAAACCACGGTCTCCCCCAATGCCGACTGCGAGCGTTCGATCTGGTGAATTGCCGGCTTGGTGGTGATCTTCGAAGGGGTAGATGCCGACAACGGGATAGATGGCGTCGAATAGAGACAAACCTCGCGCGAAGGCTTGAACTCGTCTTGGCTCCGAGTTCAGCACTTCCAGAAGGTCGAGCCTGGTTTGTTGTCGTTCCGAGAGTGAGGGGTTTCGGTGTAGGTAAGGACGTCTTTCTTGCCAAAGGTACGCGTGTAAGCGTAGAACCGGGATATGGCTAGGAGCATTTCATCCGTTTTAGACGGCATTAGTCTTCGTTTCGATGGTCTAAACACGATGAGACTCGGATGGATAGCCTGACAAGACCTGTCAGTGACTGGAAGAGTACTTACGAGATCTCAAAAAGTACTTTGCCGTGAAGTTTGCATGTGTGCTGAGTATAAGAGAGAGGCGGTTATGTGCCCATACTCCCAAATTAAGCTCTTTGAAGATGCCCGCAGCGGTCAGCTATCGCATTAGCCGGACTATCAATCGTAAATCTCTAGAACATGTTGCTGGAATGGACAGTAGATTACCGATCAAAGATTCATCAGCCTCGCATCATCCAGCCAGCTCCGTAATGCCTCTGCTTCCATGGACTGGTATTGCTTCTAACACACCGATCTCCATGAGTGCACGAGCGGCAGAGGCCACAAAGACCTGGATGAGGACAGCGGCTAAACCTCTGCATTGCAGTTTGTCTCGGAGTCAGGACAGGCTCACTTTCGTGATGTGGTCCATGACGACGTCCATGGGATCTTGGACCTGACCAATAAGGTTCTTTGCTTTCATGACAACGGCTGCTTTGGTATTTCTGATAACAGTGGGGTCATTGGATGTCTCCAGGCTCTTCGCCAAAGCTGAGAGCTCCTCCGCCATCGCAGATATCTGCTAAGGAGTCGGGTCATGGCACTACAGGAATAGGATGTCGAGGAAGCAAAGGGATAATGTAGCTGAGGACAAGGTAGAGAGGCCGTGCAAAACAAATCGCAAGTGGCAGAGGGGAAACAGCGTAAACACTTGTATATGGAAGTCACAATGCTAAACTACTGCAAGTTGTCAAATAGGGGACGAGCAATGATCAATGACATTCAAACAGTTGCTTTGTCCTCAAGCAGCACAACGACAGCCGAGAGAAGTGCATATCACCAATGTCAGCAGGAGGCACGATTGATATGAGAAATAGCATTCTGACGCTGATCAATGAGCGGCTGCTGTTTGTAATGCTGGCGGCAGGCTTCCCCTGCTCGTTTGCGACGCTGCCCAGGTCGAGGTTGAAGCTAGAAGCAGAGATTGCGGCAGGTCAAGGTTTGTCACATGCAAGTCCAGCAAGTATGTGATGAGGAAACGGCCAAACTTGTGCAGATGTTCATTTCCCATCATCTCTACTCAAGAGCGAGCATCTTCTCCATAGCCACAGCTGTCCTTGCACTGGCTCCATCCGTCGTTGTTCTGCTTGTGGTAGTAGCGGTGGTTGAACAATGTCATTCTGCTGGTGTCGCGGAAAAAAAGGGCTGGCCATTAGCCATTAGCAGTTGGCCAGCAGCCATTGGTCAGTACTAGTTAGCCATTGGTCGATTCACAGGTGCATAAGTAACATTTGGCTTTGGCGGCAAGGCACTCATCCCACATCGCTGGGCCTCCAGGCCACACTTTAGGATCCACAACCACGGTGCTGGCATGCTGCGCACCCTGGACCCGACAAACAGCCCTGCAGTAATCTCCTGATGTTCTTCATCTGTCGCCAGTCTGGATGATAGTGGTCGCCTCATCACCGAAACGAAGTTGCATAGGGATTCAGACAGTAATCGGAAAGCACAGGGGCTGACATGGCAACCCCTGGCAGCCTTCTCCCTACACCCTCTTGTCCAACAAATGAGACCATATCTACCCTTCTATCAGGAGACGGAGAAGCCAATGACCGCGTGGGTAGATGTCTTTGGCCACCCATCTGCCAGCCTTGCAGGATGCGTCTTAAAGCTGCATGACAGCGATGTTACACGAGTCACGGACGTCACACATTCTGCTTCACACTGAAGCAAACAAGTACCATCAATAGTGACAAAGATTGTTCTGCTGATTCAGGTGGCTATCCGGTCGATCGCGCCATAGTTCTGCATAGTCAAGTCGCCTCGAGTATTCATGTGAGCGCTCTTCTGGCAGAAGACTTCCTGCTTTCAGGGCTTATCAACAAAGCTGAGTCTAGTTAAGCTCCTTTCGCAATACACAGCATCTTCGAGTCACGAGGTGCACTATGGATAGTGACGCTACGAGGATTGATTCGACTAAACCCTAATCAAAGCCAGCATGTCCGGCGTCATAGCATCAAATACATGGGAATGCAATGGCCATTGCAAAGTCTTACACGCTTTCAGTATACTCTTTCCAACTTCCATTCCTTCAGCTGTCCCACGTTCATTCTGTCTTCGAAGTATGGCATGAATATTTTGTCAACGATAACGTCCGGGTCTGATTTTGTTTGATAACCCCCTTTGCCATCTGGAATAATTGCCTGCTCAATCAACGGTTGTCCCACTTGCACCTGATACTTCTCAGGGAGAACCTGGGAGAAGTTGGTAGCAATATTTTGTGATGCAGACTTTACCGCGGAGAGTGAAGACATGGAAGGCAACGGGTGCTGCTGGTGTCAACAGATCGTAGGTGAGAAAGGGTGGTTGGGAAGCAAGCTAGGTACCTGATGTAACAGTCCTCCTGTCACAAGCAACATGGGATATTCTCCATCACTCACTTTCGAGGTATTGGCATTTTCCGCGAACCATTGGCCCGTCATCAGAGTTCCGACAGCGGACACCTTGAAATCGGCCTCGAGAACCTCATGTTTCACTGTCATCAGATCATCCATACCTTCACTTGAATCAGCTACGCGCACGGCAACCATGAAAGACGACTAAGGTCAACTCTACCAACTCTCGCGGCATTATAGCACACCACATCCACTGATCCAAGCTCCTTCTTGGATGCCTCTAATGCCTGCAACAAAGCACCTGCATCTCCAGCATCAACAGCCTTGACGAGGATCTTGGCGTTTTCAGCTTTCTGCTTGTTCAACTCTTCAGCCAGAGCACGCAAGCTGTCATGCGATCGAGAAAGCAAGGCAATGTTCCATCCCTCGACCACAAGTCTGCGAGCAAGCGACGTCGAGATGAAAGGTCCCACTCCCACTATTATGATTGATCTTGCGCTCGACATTGTGTCTTCCTCTAGGTACTGAACGAGCACCGGTCTCTACGTCTTGAAATTTCTGCAATTGATGGAAAAAAGTTTCGTCCACCTGAGTGCTGTGACTGACGGGGTGGATCATCCCAGATATTAATGCAAGTTTGAGTTTGCCCTCTAGACTAAGGAAAACGGTTCCGAGAAGTGGACTGATCCCTTATCCTTGGACCATGGTAAACTGCACGAGGTGTAAAAGCCGACGATCTAACCCTACAATGATAAGACCGTCTGGCCCCTGATATGATACTATTGACTGTATTAGTGCGCCTTCTTGAGATGAGGATAAGCAAACACGTGGCAATGATCTACAAGATCAATCGACTGCCTTGAGGAATTCCTACTGTTAAGGTTCCGTATCTCCAGATTAGGCTCTTTCTGCCGTTCTTATGCACTTGGAGGTTAGTACTCACGCCCCCCTTACTAACGATGGCCATGCAATTGGAGTACAGCGAGCAGAGAGTATGTTTCTCAATTCCAATAAGTCCTCACCAATTGCTTATTAATTGGCGGATCGAAGCGGCAAGGCTAACTAAAGATTTTGTGCGACGTGTACATATACGGGATCATCAGCCAATAGAACTCCGCAATCGTCTCCAGCAGTTCCGAGTACAATCTTTCCACCATTCATTTTAACAGATGGGTTGACTTGCTTGATTAGCCCTCCTTCGAGGGAACTAGCTATCTAATATGGCCACCGGGAGGCTGGACGCCAATTGCCTTCTTTAGCACTCATGTGAGATTCCTTGTTATCATTATTTTCCAAACAGTCTTCCTTCAAATCTCCCTTAGGACACTGGTTTATTCCACGTACCGTCCCTATTTTCTTACAACAGGAAGGCTTGAGTATAATGATAGACGTTTCTCTTACCGCGGCGCAGCGGAGCCTGCAGGGCTCTATTCGTCTCTTGGCAGACACCTATCTTGCTTCCGCAAGGAAAGTAATACGAGCAAGTCCCAGTGTGCCATACCCAGAAGGGGATCGCAAGCAATGGAGACAACTCTTAGTTGGTTTCGTTCCAGTCTACCCGACACATCCTCTCCATGGCAAGTTCAATGGGCTTAGTCAAGTCACTTATGCCACATGCGGTAGGTGGCCCTGCAGGCACGTTACTTGATAGCATTATCGTCGCAGAAGAGCTGTTCACTGTTGAGCCAGGTATCTCTCTGACATTTGCTGGGTATTGGGCTGGGCCTAACACCTGTGCTCCTGAGCGATTTCAACGGCCGGGAGGATTTGCGTTCTGACATCTTAGCTTCATTCACGGATTTAGGCGATGGTACCGCTCCCCCCCTGGCCGCTTTGTGCTTCTCAGAACCGACTGGGTCTGCCAACTACTTTGAGGAAGAAGGCAATGGAGTCTAAACACTGCTGTGTATGATTCAGATTCCAATTCTTGGATTATGAACGGCGAGAAGATCTGGGGCACAAATTGCTATGGCTAAGACAATCTAGGTGTAGACCTCCAGGTCATTTTCGTCCGCTATTCAGACGTGGTCGCCAGCAAGACTGATTCTTCAATGCTCGTCCTCCTGACCAGAGCAGTTCTCGAGCAAAATCGTTCCGATGGAAACCAAGACTGCTACTCAGCCATCCGCCACCCTGCTACGCCTGGCTTTACCACACCAGCTGGACCTCAGATCCGCTTCTCCAACCTATGCATCCCATCTCGTTACGTCCTCGCCACAGGTGCAGCTGCCGCCGAGATCATTATGGCCACATTCACCTCTTCTACCGCTATCGTAGGCGCCATATCCACCGGCATCACGCGCGCTGCCTTCGAATCCGCCCTTCACCTCGGGCGGAATCACTCGGCCGGAGGCAAAGTCGCTGTCCTGGAACACTGGTCCCCAGCCGACCTCCTCATCGACATCAAAAGCCGGGTCGAAGCCAGTAGAGCATTGACCTGGAAAGCAGCCGCTGCGATTGACCAAAAACTGCCTGGTGCGGATGAGTTGGCGTACGAAGCGAAGACCTTTGCGTCAGAGGCCGCAGTGACGTCTGTCGCGGAGGCGATGAGAGTGGTTGGCACCAGTGCGTATGATGCCGACGAGTGGCCATTTGCGAGGTTGATGGAAGATGCGTTGGTCTTGCCGATTTTCAACGGAGGTAATCAGGGCATCCGGAAGAGACAGATACAGAAGATCTTTTCTGAGCAAAGAGTACCAGCCCTGGGCTGCTACATTCGGGCCTGCGCATGCTGACAATGAAGCACAAAATGCGAACTGACGAGTTCGTTGAGCGGGACGCCGGTTTCCGGAAGGAGAATCTGGCAGGGTACACGACTGCCTGCTGTTTTCGAACCTTTCTCTATCTCGTGACAGTCGAATGACTGGCGTGTACGCGGAAGGGCTTTCTCCAAATGGTTCGGGGAAGTTGGGGATCCAGCACGCGAACAAGTCTCACCTGGTGCATATGCCAGGTAACAAACACAGCTGCCCTTGGGGATATCACGATGTACTTGTTCTCGTCTTTCTCCATATCAGTCTTGGTACATAGGACTTCATGCAACTTCAATTGTTGATGGCAGCCAGACATCGGCAGTTTCTGTGTCATTCTATACTGCAATGTAGAGCAGAAGTGCCTTCTGGGGGGCTGTTGGTGTAGTAGCCAGGAAGCATATCTACCTCACATCCTACGCACTAGATAGGCAAGCTATGCCGCACGACTATGTGCAAGCGGATGCATTGAGGATCCAGATGCGTAAAAGACAAGTGCGGACGGGGATACGTACCAGGAAGGTTGATGAAGACCGGAATAATGTGAAGGATCAGTGGCGGCGCTATTCGATACCGTAGCTGGGGTATGCCCAAAACAAAAAGGAATCAAGGCAAAGCAAAGCGTCGTATACATCCATCCACAACGCATAACCCCATCCCCATAACTCTGATACTCAAATGCAGACGCCAAATATTGCAAAACTCAACCCCCTTCCACCCTCGTTCATATCCCCCTAACCTTGCGATAACTCGGCGGTCTCCACGTCCTGCCAATGACCTTCCCGCCCCAAACGGGGACGAGACTGACGGCGGCCACGGCGCTGACCCTCCAAACCCAGCCCCAACTCGCCACATAGCGCAGATCGAAGTATTCGCCCAGGAACGGCACGCTGACGGCATACAGGGCGGCGGTGCCGACGATGCAGACGATCATGATGGGATGCCAGGTGGTGACGGCGACAGCGACCATGATGAGCTCGTTGAAGACGAGCACGGTGAAGCTGACGCTGAGCATGCGCGTGCCGTCGACCTCGCCGACCAGCAGCTGCGAGAGGCCCTGGATGATGCTGCCCTGGTAGACGGAGATGGCGACCCAGGTGAAGAAGGTGCGGTAGCTGAGGCTCTGGCCCGTCTTCAGCTCCTTGTACAGCTCCGGGTACAGCTTGGCCAGGTGCTCGTCCACGTCGCGGTCCAGCACGAGCGAGAAGACGGGCGCCATGGTGTAGACGGTCGCGTAGCCGACGAGGAGCCAGTCCTTGAAGAGGCCCTTCGGGTCGAAGTGGCCCGCGATGTTGTACATGGTCTGGCAGACCGAGATGATCAGGCCGCGGTGGATGACGAACTGCGCCAGTTTGGCCGACCGCTTGTAGCTGTTTCGCCCGTGCCAGACGAGCAGCTTGGTCAGGTGGCAGAATTGCGTGACGCTGAAGTCGGCGGCCAGCGACGCTTGCCGGCCTTCTTTTCCGACTATTCCGATTCCCACATCGGCGGCTTGGATCATGCTGACGTCGTTTCTTGGTGTGGGTGCGGATGAGGTTGGCGAGTTCGGCTTTTTGCGTGGGCGAGCAGCGGCAAGCGATCACGGCGGGGAGGAGGACCGCGAGGCTGATAAAGGGGTGTCGGAAATGGGTGAGCATGAGGGAGAGGGAGTCGCCATCGATGAGGAGACAGGAGTCGGTCTTGTTGCGCATGAAATCGAGCGATTCTTGGGCTTGGGCTTTGGTGCGGAGTTTGGAGATGGTGTGGATTTGTTGGCCGCGGGAGACCAGTTTGGCTGATACTGCTACGCAGCGGGCTGTCTCGACTTTGTCACCGGTGAGCATCCAGATTTTGACACCCGCGTTGCGCAGCAGTTCTAGAGACGGTTTGACGTCTTTCTGTAGTTTGTCTTCCACGCCCGTAACGCCGAGTAATTCCAGCTCATTCTCGAGATGGGTTTTGACAACCTCGGACATGGTGATTTCGCGCTTGTGAAGTGATAGGGAGGCTTCCTTGTAGGAGCTGGTGAAGGACTGATATTGTTGCATAGACAGACGCTTGCGGCCTACAACGAGAGTTCGAAGACCTTCCCGAGCCATGTTTGCAGTCTCTTCGTCAAGCCAGTCATTCGCCGCAACGATGGAAGACATAACCGTGTCAGCACCCTTCTGGTAAAACCAGACTTCGTCCTCATCGACTGGGTCTTCTAGGCCTGTGCTGAATTGAACAATGACTCCCATGCGCTTGCTATCAGAGGTAAATGGGAAGATTTCGAGTATCTTCACTTTTACGACAACACGATTAGATTCGGTAGATTGTAAGGCAATACTTTGTCGATCTCGATGGGCAAGACGCAATCCAACTTGTTCTGTGTACTGAACGATGGCTATTTCGTCGGGAGAAGACGCTTGGTAGGCCGTGATCTGCTTTCCTTGCACCTCGTCCGTAGTAGGTGTGACGTTGTGGCACAGAGCGAGGGCCAGGATCAAATCTCGAACACGAGTTCCAATTTCTCGACGAGTCCTTGTGGTTGACGACGTGTTTATTTGTGTGAGGTGAGCAGATGATGGTGTAAAAAGGCGGCTCGGCTGAACGTTGCTCTTCAGGCCTTGGCCAGAGAAGGCCTGTTTGACATAAGATGCTACCTCTTCCATAGCTTCGTTTGCATAGGATACAGTACCAACATGAATCTTTTTCAACTCCATCTCATTACGGGTCAGTGTTCCAGTCTTGTCAGAAAGCAAGTACTCAATGCGGCCGAGATCTTCGGGTATCGTACTTGTTCGTACAACAGTGCCCGGTATTCCCTGATCACGCTCGATAAACCTTGCATACACTGACTTTGCCATGTCCAGGTTGACTCTCAAGCTGATCGGGATGATAGTAGAGAAGAGGATGAGATATATCATGATCGCCACATACCATGGCTTCTTGTTTGTTGGCTCAAAGCCCTCTAGGGCTACGAGTACAATAGACAAGGTTAAGGTCAGTGCACAAAGGATCTTCGTCAAGTTGTTTATCTCAAGTTCTAACAGACCGGTCTTCGAACGTGATGGTGACGTCGACATAGCAGAACGAGTCTGTCTGCCAGTATAGATAACCATGGCAAGCGTTGTCGTGTTCGAAGCGATGACGGTATTTGCCCATGCCGTGTTGTCTATCGTCAATGGTAGAGATTGCATGCTGGCCTGGTTGGTCTGGTGAGCATTGGTATCGAGACTGGTGGGCGAGTCCTCCTGAGACAGGTGTGGATCATAACGCATTTCTTGCCGAGAATTTAGCTCGATAGTCCCAACAAACTCATTGACTCTCTTGTCTGGCGCACTAGCTTTGATCTTGAGTCTGTGAAAATCGACGGCGTTCAGGGGTTGGGTAAGTGGCGATGGAAGTCGAAGTTTCCAGTCCGTCTCACCATCGAGCTGATCAGTCCGTATAAAGGTCTCGCCTGATGTTTGTTCATCATGGATAGTCTTCGGTTCTGGTCTTCGAATTTCATCATTCTGTAGAGCCTCGCTGGTGGTGGTGGCTCCTTGTTCTGGCGCTGGTATCGCTTCAAGCTGAGCGCTGCTCGTGGCTTGGTCTATGCCGAGGTCGTTGGGAATGCTCTTGAGAATGACAACGTCCGCTGGAAGACGCTGATTCTTTTGTAGCTTCAAGATGTCTCCGACCTTGAGATCTCTAGACCGCTTTTGAAATTCCCAAGTGCCTTGAAGTCCCAAATGTCCCTCAGACATAGCCCTGCTTGGTATCCCAGTCCTTTTTCCCTTCTTCACCGTCTCGGCACTAAGTGAAATCACTGTGTAAGGCTCTGCGTTGGCCTCAGAATCCCTCTTTCTCCTTGCTATGTCGTCAATAGCTTCTTTCCCAATGGTTATTGTCAATACCATGACCAAGGGAGCAACATAGGTCGACATGTAGCCGATGCGCAAGTATGGTATTATTTGAGAGAGCGCCACAAGAAGGAAATATATGTTCAAGAAGAATGAAAACTCGTTATACAGTGTGCGAGGCAGGAAAGACCATGCGCTGTATTTGGCGTTCGAGACAATATTGGCAGGATATTTCTTGACCTGCAGTTGGCCAACCAGAACCTCACGAGACTCCTTGTTACTAGCCTTTGAGCCGCCATCGGGCTCATTAAATTCCAATCGCAAAGTCTCGGGAAGTTGTAGACTCTGTCTGAAGCTGGCTAATCGAGCAAGTGGACCTTGGTTCTCCTGATCACGATGTTGCCCCCGCTTGGTCAAACCGGACAGGCCTGCGGCGGTTCCTCTCTGACCGTTATTTCCTTTGTCTTCTCGCTCGTTAAGCAGACCTTGCAGGTCATCTTCATCTTCTGCCCCTTCTCGGTGATTCCTCCGTGCCCATCGCCGGCCTCGTTGCACACTCCTCAGATTGCTCAGCGCAATGCTCTGTCCATAACCTCTGGCTTTGCCATCCTGTATGCCACTCAGATTTTCCCGTGTCGAACTTAACCTATCGCTCCTCACTGGATCTAACTCGTTTAGATCCAGATCATCTTCTGACGACAGCTCGTTGAAGGAATCGTGGTCGTCTGGGTTGCGATAATGATATGCGCCTGACATCGATGAATCCAAGTCCAGTGGAGGAGCAACAAGTACCCATATGATTGTTTTCCGGTCTAACCATGGCGCGTATTTCTTCACGATCCTGGTGCCTAGAGCTAGCAGGCGAAAGATGGGGAGGCGGACATTGGACAAACACGGCAATGTTCTAAGGTATTGATTATGGTTGGTCAAGGGGAATAAGGATATGCAACGGCAGATCGATATAAGAAAATAGTCGAAAGTATCCTTGAGGTTTCACAATCCCGAGAGACAACCAAGAATCAAAGGTGTCTCCTTGAACTTTGGAAATTCCTGCCAAGCAGCAGGCCGGGAGCATGATGGAGTAGCAATAAGTAGTAATGACCGTTCACCAAGCTATAACGTTAGCGTGACTAGCAGCACGTTTTGCAACAAGGTTATTCATGCTGCAATATCGCCCTGGTTCTCCATCCCAAAGCCAACAATTTGAGGCTGTCGCATCATCGACGAGGACCTTTGAACTTTCAATCTTGCGTTGACTTCAGTTGCATCTCCAAAAAGTATGAGCATCCAGCGTGAAATGCACCAGTCTGCCTTGTTATCTACGTTGTCGTTCGCGTCTTAACTCTTCCTCCTAATGTGAGTTCTCCGAGCCACCCCTTTCGACGAAGAACAGTCTAGGTCGTTAACAAATCATATACAGCTCCGCTCGCGCTCTTTGATCTCCCTGCACAGATCATAAATCATCAGAAATGGTTCATAACGACTCAGAAGAAGATGCAACAGTATCCTGGCATCCTGCCCTACGACCCAACGATGACCAGCACCAAGGGCCAAGCTCAAACCCATTTTCATCATCAGCCATACATAGCCCTGCTTCCACTTCTATCAGCCCTGAAATCGATGCAGGTCCAGCTACAACTCCAGATCAGCAGTCTCGGAGCATCTACGATACCATAGAAGAAAGTCCTCCAGACGTACATTCCAGCCTTGACAATGACCCCGACGATTCCAGTTTTGTCGGTCCACAAACAGCGGTACTGGAATCTCGGCCAGAAGCCGACCCTAACATTCTCCAGCAGCCAGATCATGCTGAGGGATCCATACAAAATGAGCCACGTGCCGGTCAAGCCTCGGCTGTGGAGTCCTCCAACAGAGCCATAGCTGAATCTCTAGATCGTGAGGACGGCCGCATAAGTGGACTTAGGTTGTCGGTAGGAGAAGAAAAATATCAGGGTGTGACACAAGAGGAAAGGTCGGAGCTGTCTTCTGATGACGACGATGAAAGACTTGATTCTATGGGTCTCATCAGCCGGAGTGAAACCCAGCAGATCCTTAGTCAAATGGAAAGATCAAGCTCATTCCCAGCTTTGCAGACAGACTCAGCACCCAACAATGTACATGATGGTGGTCACCTACCAAAAATGAAGGCTGAGGTTACGATGGCAGATTCACAAGCGGACCTCGATACTAATAATGGCATTCAGAAGGCTACTCAGCGGGCTATCCAGAACTCTAATCAGACAGCGTCTCCGGAAGGTAAATTGAACGGAGCTACATTTGAAGGGGAGGAAGATCTATTTTTTGCACCGCTAGCCTCAACAAATCAGACTTTAGCAGAGCCTTCGAATGCGGAGGCCCGTTTTGAGGAGGGACTACCACTTATTGACTCTGAATCCAAACCCAGCGACGAATTACACCAAGAGTTGAGACCCTCGCAGCCTTTTGAAGACCAGATACGGAATTTTTCTCTTGATCAGAGCGAAGCGAGCTTTTTCGACCATTCTACAACGTCAGCTGTTGAGAACCCACCTGCAGCTCATTTGGACAGGAAAGCCACTTCGGATGTGTTAAAGTCGCTTAATTTCGTCTCTGATCAGGGTCCAGGTGCTCCGGTCCAGTCTCCTGACCAGGCCAGCAGCCTTACCTCTGGGCAACAGCATGAAGATAACCAGGGTCAAGGGAAGCTTCTGAATGGCAATGGTGACGTGGGTGCCTCTGCGCTATGGGATGCTATGCTGGACGATGATGATTTTCTTGCAGGCGATGATGATGAGCTCCTCCCCGATTCTACTCCTCAGTCAAGTGCTGGCTCTCCATCATCCTTTCTGGGTTCACTGAATGATAGGACCAGCTTCCAGGAGCCTGACGAAGTCTTGTCGAGATATGATTCTCCTTCTCACAGCGGCTCTGGTGCCACAAGCAATAGTCAAGCACGCCAGACTCCCAGCGGGCAGACCTCAAACCCTGATGCTCGGTATCAACCATCCTCCACAGACATTGCACATATGTCACCTACCACATATGGTAATGTCGGGTTCTCGCAACCAAACCTGGCCCCGATGACTTTTGGACAGACTTCCTTTCAGGGACAGTTTCAGAGACCAGCTGCTCCACCAAAAGCAGAAAGCTTTGTAGATCAGTCCAAAGGTGGATACAAATCACCTTATGATCTACCCATGGATCTTTCGCAGCCTCGCAAACGCATTCAGATGCATCAACCACCGCCTGCTTCAAGAGCTCCAGCACCACCTCCCCGCAGCAGCAGCAGCATGACATCAGATACGGCCCCTACTTCGTCTAATGGTCCACTTCTGTCTCCGCTTTCTCCACAAAATGGCACTTTCGAAAGACAAGCTCGATCGCCGTCTACTCAACATACCGCAGCACCATCATCGAACAACAGAAGAATTTCCAATGAACAACCAACGTCCCTGAAAACGAAAGCGAGCAGTTCGAGTTTCTTTGAAGAATTACCAATTACCGCCAAACCTCGACCACCTACTGCGCAAGGACGCTACACTCCTCTTCACAGCGGACCACTGCCATCTCAAACCTTCCCAGCCAGCTCATCTCCTCCTCAGGGCCAACCTCCTACCCAAATGCCCCCACCTCCCGTCCCTACTAAGCAATCGACAACTGATTCTTATTCTCAATATCAGCTACAGCGCCCAGAGCGGCTTGATCCGTACGCCAACGTACCTCTCCAGTCAAGTACAGCACCAGGCGTTTCAAGCACACGTTACTCGCCAGCTCCTACATCTCAGACAGCACCGCCACCTACAAGATATTCTCCTGCTCCTCTCGGCTCGCAAATAGCAGCTCCACCATCAGCCCCATCCAGATACTCTCCCGCCCCACCATCATCTAATAATGTCATGCAATCACAAAATCGCTATGCGTCGCAACCACAGCAGTCTCCTCAACTTCCACCTCACAGCGCGACAGTTCAGAATCGGCGTCCATCCCAACCAATACCTTCAGTTGCCAATGCATTTCCTTTCCAACCTCGTACATCTAGTCCTTTGGCCTACCATAATAAGAAATCAAATCCACAGGTGGATGTCTCGTATAATATCAGCGATAGCATACCAACCTCACCACCGAGGCGCATACCTCCTCCTCAGCATCTTTCTCCTCAAAGAGAATCTCCACCATCTTCAGCAGTCCCTGGCCCAGCTCAAGGTTTTGCTCCTCCACGACGATCACAGACGCAGTCCCCGGGAAGAAGAGGGCCTGTGTCATCCTTAATAGCGACATCGACTGATGCTATGCAGAGGCCCGCTTCTGTGCATGGTCCATCCTCGCCTGACGCATCAGCCAATGCTTATCAGTCCTTCCCCCCTGTGCGCTCATCAATTAGACAACGAGGTCTCTCCCAACATCTTAACTTTATCTCACCAACAGACGGAAGTCAGCATGATGAGCTTCAAAGATGGCGCGGAAGTCCAATTTTCCGATTCGGTCTTGGTGGCTCTGTTCTCAGTAGCTTTCCAAAACACATTCCTCGATATACTGCCGGCTCAGCTACGCCCATGATTAAACCCATGGCTGGTGAGGTGAAAACTCGCAGTGCCACAGGAGTCCTTCAAATTCCAGAGCATATTGCCAAGTTTCCCGGACCATTACGGTCAAAGTCGAAGAAGAAAGAAGTTCTGGCTTGGCTTTCGGATCGCATTGTGGCGTTTGAAAGTATGTCAGTACCATCGTTCTCGCCACAGCTCCCAGATCCTGTCAAGAGGCATGACGAGAAGATCCTGTTGTGGAAGATAGTCCGTGTGATTGTTGAGCATGATGGTATAGTTGACGGGAGTGTTGAGGTTCAGAAGGCAATGAACCTGGTCCTTGCGCCAGAGGCAGCAACTCCCGAGGACCTTCACTCAACAAATACTACAACAGCCGCCGACGTCGCTACAATTTATAAACCAGCAGGAGCAGTCACCCACACAGAGGAAGTTGATCCTGTAGCCGTTGATATGGTCCGTAAAATCTTATTGCGTGGAGATCGAGAAAAGGCTGTCTGGACTGCCGTTGACAATCGGCTCTGGGCTCATGCCATGTTGCTATCATATACACAAGACAAATCGGTCTGGAAGCAGGTTGCTCACGAATTTGTTAGACAGGAGGTCAAACTGATTGGTGTCAATACTGAGCCGCTTGCGGCTCTGTATGAAATCTTCGCCGGCAACGTTGAAGAAAGCATCGACGAGCTTGTGCCTCCCTCGGCAAGAGCAGGTCTCCAAATGGTTAGCAAGGTTGGCGGTGCTGGACCTACCAAAAGCGCATTAGATGGCCTGGACAAGTGGAGAGAAACACTTAGCCTCGTGCTGAACAATCGCAGCCCTGAAGATCAGAAGGCTCTGGCAGCACTCGGCCAGATGCTGGCAAGCTATGGGAGGATCGAAGCATCACATATCTGCCACTTATTCGCTAGTTCACCAATGCTACCTAGCGTTTTTGGAGGCGCAGATGATGGTCAAGCAAGCATTGTACTGCTGGGCGCAGATCATCGGAATCATCCTGGCGAGTTTTTCCGTGACGAAGACACCGTGTTGCTGACCGAGGTCTATGAGTTTGCATCTTCTGTTTTGGCAAGCAACTCAAGATCAGCTCTGATGCCACATCTTCAGGCCTACAAGCTTCAACACGTCAAATCACTTGCAGAGGCTGGATTCAAGACAGAAGCGCAGGCTTATTGTGACGCAATAGGCGCTTCGCTCAGATCGACGACAAAGTTGTCGCCATACTATCATCCACAGTTTCTGGCTGAGCTAGACGAAGTAACACGATGCCTTTCACAAGCTCCAACAGAGCCTTCATCCTGGATTTCGAAACCTAACATGGGCAAGGTGTCAGATTCAATGTGGAACAAGTTCACGACCTTTGTGGCTGGCGAAGAAAGTGATGCAGCTTCGACTGGGTCCGGCAGAGATGCTGGTCATGAGTTTGGTCCATTTGCCAAGGTCTCAGGGACTCCTACTGTGAGTCGATCCGGATCAATCTCAGACCTTCAGGGCAATTACGCCACGGCTGCGCCTCCGCCTATACCAAATACCATTGCTGGCTCAAGGTATGCACCAAATGGACAACACAGCGCTCGATCATCTTCAGAGTTGACCAGAGGGAGGCCCTCTCTGGACTCCCAGCGATCACCGTATCTGCCGCAAGGCACAGTTCAGAAATCACCATATGATCCGAATGCGTATCTCAATCAGCAAAGCTATATGTCCTCGCCTATACCACCACAATCTGCGAGCCCTTATGGCCCTCTGGGCGCGTCGCCTTCCGTCCAACCATCTCGAGATATTCCGCCTCAGACTCCGTACATGCCAACCGAGCAGCCAGCAGAGCAATCTTCCCTATATCCACCACATGTATCAGAGCCATACGTACCTACAGCTCCACTCAAGCAACCTGAGCCTCACATCCAGGCAGTGTCTTCTACTGCATCTGCATCTGCACCATCTCTTGGCATGGAACCAGCACAGACTTCTGCCTTCAACAACTACGCGCTGGCGGAAGCTGTGTTACCAGCCGCCCCCCCTCAACCGTCTTCCAACTACGCCCCTCCTCTTCAATCCTATAGCAGCTACGAACCTCCATCCACAGAATACGTCCCTTACCAACCTGACCCGTCTTCAGACTCCGAACCCGAAAATCGTAAATCCAAGAAGCAATCCTTGATTGACGACACCGATGACTTCCCATCAACCAACTCTCGTGCTGCAAACACCGATTCCATGGGTCCAGATGACGACGCCACCGCTCGAAGGAAGGCCAACGACAAAGCCGCCGAAGCAGCCTTCCGCGCCGCCGCAGAAGCCGATGCCGCCAAGGACAAAAACCCCGCCACCGGCACCACCAACAACGCCGACAAATCCCTAAAAGCCAAATCCTCTTGGTTTGGCAGCCTGTTCAGCCGCAAAGAAGCCGACTCACTCGACTCCAGCTCCTCCAACAAAGGAAGTGGCAGCGGTGGCGGTAGCAGCGAAGGAGGAGGGCAGAAAGTCATCCGTGCCAAACTCGGCGAAGAGAGTTCATTTTACTATGATAAAGAGCTAAAGAAATGGGTCAACAAGAAGGATCCTGCCAGCATGCAGCAGAGCGCTAAAGCTACGCCGCCTCCGCCCAAGGGGCCAATTGGAAGGGTTGTTAGTGAGACTTTGGGTGGCACTGCTGCAGGGCCACCGAGGAGTGGGTCAGCGGGTTCGCCCCCAAGTATAGCTTCGAGCCGACTGACGAGCTCGAATAGCCCGCCAAATGGGGTCGGGGCACCACCAACGGCTGCACCAATAACTGGTAGTGGGAGGGAGTCTGCCCCTCCAAGTATTACAGCTCCAGCTACGTCCTCGGGGGTAGGTGGGCTTGGAGGTGGGCCGCCGCCTCCGGCTGCGCCACCGATGAATCGTCCCGCAAGTACGGCGCTGAGCACAGCGTCTGATATTGATGATTTGCTCGGCGGGCCGCCGAACGCAGGCGCGAGGAAGCCTGGTGGGACGTTGAAGGGGAAGAAGGGCAGGACAGGTGCAGGGAGGTATGTTGACGTTATGGCGAAGTGAACAGAGGAGGGATTTGCGGGTGGTCGGGAAAGGAGTGAGTTTGAGCTTAGCATGGGATTTTCGCATTTTCTGGTGGAAGTGGGAGTGTGCATGGCTTCTTGTGAGCAATAGTGATTGTGATTGCTATAAGTCTCTAATGGTATCAGTCGTGGCGCGTGGGTTGCTCTATTAGGAAGAATTTGTGGAAGACTCGCGTGGGAGGGTAAATACATGCATACATACATACATCCAGAAGCTTTGATACCAAATTCAATCTTGTGGCCTTTTGGATCGTATTGGGTGGAGTCTTCGCGGCTCTTGCTGCTACTACAACTACTACTGCTACTACGACTACGATGTTCCACTGACCTGGAAAGGCAGGCCTAGAGACGTAATGAGACGGCTTCTTTGTGGAGTCAAGGAAGTTGAGATAGGTTTAATCAAGCAGGTTCAAAGTCCGATACCTAGCTAAATTGGTCTCGATAGTGAGTCTGAGAAGCCCTGGCTTTTCCAAGCCGCCTTTCCACGAGCCATCCAACGTTCTAACCACTTCATGGTTCCACCGAAAAAGCACCGAAAATGCTCTGCCCCGTTCTGTCACTGTTTCACGAAGACTTTCCAACAATTCGAGAGTCTGCATGAACAGCTGCTTTGTCACGTAACATTTTTCTTCTTGGGCCGTGGGTTTTTCCATGTCCCCACGTCCTCAGTCGTCTGTCAGGTCAATGATCTCGGAAATTCTCGGTTGGTCGGGGCTGGGCGGTAGCTCGATCAAGTGGTTGTCTGCCTCATTGCCCTCCTCGCCTCTCTTGCGCTTTCTTCCTGTCGTGCTCGGCTCCTGGGTTTCAAGACCGGCTGACGGTGGTCGATTTGCTTTCTCCGTAGCTTCGCCCACTTTGGCCCTCGTTGCTGTGCTAGGTGGAGGTGTGGCCTCGTCGGCTTCTTCGTTCTTTGGCTTGATTGATCCCGTTGGGGTGGCGAAGAGAGGAGGTGTTGGACGGACAGATCGGGGAGAGGCGAAGGTAGCTGAAGATCCAGGGCTGTTGATGCTCGTTTCGCGCTCGGTGGAAGGGTTGGTGAGATCAATTTGGTACGTACTGGCCTCTTTCTTGACACTGCTATCACGGCACTTGGTGAGACTAGATGGCGAGCTTGCAACGGTCGAGAGAGCGGAGTTAGTGCTGTGTTGCACGCTTGCGCTTCGACTTCGCAGTCTTTCTTCGGCGAGTTCACTCTAAAAGTTGGTTAGGGCAGGGCCAATTAAGTGGTAAGGAATTACTCACGCGCAGGCGCAAGAGCTCGAGATTCGTTTCCCTCGCTTGACGTTTGGCGAGCTGCAACATTTCTTCAGTTCTCTCTAGCATCCGGCTCTGGTCTGGTGGAGGAGACGGGCTGCGTGGGATGCATCCGAGGCTTTGAAGAATTTCTGCCCAGCGTTAGTATACACCAGGTAATACGATATCAACGGAGTTACTTCTGGACCGATAGAGCAGATTGAACTGATAAGGTGTGCCAGCCTCACCCGAAATCCGATCGTAAGAGTATATAATGGGACTTGGTGGGTTGGTTGGAATGCCGTTGGTGTACCTACGGGTGTTAGCAAGGACGACACATAGGGTGCACAGACGAAGCGGCTCACTTGATGTTATTGTCGATTGCCTTGCCCTTGAGGCTCTTCTCCGAGACCTCATCGAGCACTTGCGGCATCTTTCCTTCATGGACCTTGGGGATAGCCCGTTTACTCCGGTTGGCGCGGTATACAGCCACACGAATAGATCCAATGTTTTCCAACTGAGCCGGAGTCAAAGTAGCTGTAGCTGTCGATTCATCTGCTGGGGATCAGCTATGACTTAGCACAATTTCTTTCAGCAAAGATGGCAACGAGATAACACTTACTCATGCCCAAGCTACCAAACACGTAGGAGCAATGTTTCCATACTCCGGACATGTCATCCTTCAATCGGAATCTGTCCCTTAGACATTGCATCTTACTGAGGAGAACACCATCGCTATGGGATGCTTTGCATTTCGAAAACGCATGATAATGACGGCCCGAGGAGTTGTCCAGGTAGAAACCGTAGTTCACATAGTCTGCCTTCTGGAAGTCGAAGCCAGGCTGAAGCGTGATTTGGACACCGAACTTCTGGTCGGGCCCCACCTCCACATATTGGGTGAGAGTGCGATCTCGCTCATCGCCATCTCCTGGGGCTGAATACTCTATCAGTGGAGAGCCATCGACGATGGTGCGCACGTCGATGAAATTGTGAGACGGCATTTGAACAGACCAGGGATAAGTAGAGAAGTTGGCATGGAGAAGCCTTGTTGCTGGCTGCTGTGTGTTGTGAGTGTTGTGAGTGTTGTGAGTGTTGTGAGTGTTGTGAGTGTTGTGAGTGTTGTGAGTGTTGTGAGTGTTGTGTGTGAGTGTTGTGAGTGTTGTGAGTGTTGTGAGTGTTGTGAGTGTTGTGAGTTTATTTGACAGAAGAGTATCAGTGTTCCTTGGCCCGAAGTGAGGTATAGATGAGGTCGGTGGACCTAACCACAGTAATCCCCCTTCAAAGATTAAACACAGGGTGAGCACCGATAGTTACTTGGAAACCTTGAGGTGTGGTATCCCAGGAATTTATTTACGAAATCCAAGCACTGAGAACGCTTCAACAACACTATTGTTTGTCATGACACGGTTAGGTGCTGAAAGAGTTTATGAAATACTGTCGTGAGGTCAGTAAAACAGTACCTTTCATATTGAGCTCCTCTCATCCATCTTACCGTCAGACAAGTCTCCTCTCCATTGTCATCTTCGCCTTGATGATAGACGTACAAAACGAGACCTGTCCCGTTCATGAAACCTGACATCTGTCAGTCTGTATATACGGGGCACACCAAATCTGCTTACACGCAATGACCCTAACACCAAGTCTTCCAACACTAAGCACACGATTCCAGTCCTTTGCATCGATTCGGACTCGGGCCCACCCCTCCTCATTCTCGCCATGTTCGCCTCCTAGCATTCTCATTCTTGTGCTTGGATGATCCCTGAGCTCCTGTGACCCACCGGGATAGTTCGTTGGCTCGAGCTCCGGATTCACCAGGCCTGTCCACACACTCGAGATTGAGAGAGCATCCGTCTGTAATGCTATCTTGAAAGATCCATGCATGTTCGCACTTAGCTCAAGTCTTGGGCCAGCACCGGGAGTGGTACCAGTCTTCGTTGCTGTTGCTAACCTTGTAAACCTCTCTGATATACTTTTGACCTGTGCCAGACCGGGCAGGTAAATGTGCACATCCGGCTCTGGGGTGGATGGTTCATGCAGTCCCTCAACGGTCTGCATAGCTAGTACTTTGACTGGGACATCCTGCGTGATAATTGTCTCTCGTTCATGCGGAAGTCCTCCTAAGCCTCCACCAAAGCCAACATCATCCGTGTCAGCATGGAAATCAAAGTCGCCGAACTCGTCATCTGTGCCTGTTGCACCTGCCCCAACCACGCTGTCACCATTGCTGAAAGTTGTAGTCACAATGGTAACTGATAACATGGGCACATTATTCTTCTTTGTTAGCCTGATAGAAGCAGAGGTAGCACCCGACGCAGATTTCAAAGCCCGTTGCAATGACTGAATTGGCACTTCAAGGTTGATCGTGTTATGCGGTGCAGCAGACTGAAGACTGTAGGTATCGAATACTGTTTCTATCTTCAACACTGACCATACCTGGCTTCCTTTCTCAGGCAAGACTGTGAAGCGCATGTCCTCATCCGTCAGTCGGCACCATGCGATAGGACCCAAGGAGGAAAGTGAGGCACAGAATTCTGGACTCAACGTCAGTGAAGGACTGAAAGTGCCGAGTGCCATGCACCATACTCGCAAATGTGCTCACATTGCGCATCTGGCTTTTAAACCGCATGTCTGCCTAGGGGTGCGGTTTATCAACTTCACGGGTTATGGACCAGCAATTATTGATCTCTTGGTACACCGGCTTACTCATTGCTTCACCATGTGCATACAGCGGCGGCAAAGCAATACGCACACACATTTGCTTGTGAGGACTAGATAAATGGGCTTATTAGATGTACTCTGTATTAAAATAATGCTAAGCTTCTTCTGATACTTTTGGCATGGTACTTTTTAAGATACATTTCAAATATCAGATGTCCTTTGGGAGTGGAATGTACTACATAAAAGATTAACTTTACTAATTGAAATCTCTATTATTAATTATCGGAAACACATCCCAACTTTTTTGCCATAGTTTTTTTAAATCGTGATATGTAAAGGCTTACAAGAGCCATTCTCATCTGACTGACAGTCTGAGCGGCGTCAGCAACTCCGCACACATGCCAAATTTTTCGTAAGAATTTCGCAATGCACAGTAGTTAGAATGATGGTCGAGCTGCTCACTGCAGGGGGTATCCACATTGGGCATGAAGGTTTAAGCACTTCGTCCATTGAATTTATCATCTGGAGCTTATAATGCAGAACTGAAGTGCAAAAGTAGCCTTAAGTGCATAAATATGTTCAGCAACAGTGCTTAAGGGGTCGTGTGCTGAAAAGCATATGCGGGTCATGGTAATTAGGTTCCGGAGAGCCTACCCCTGGAGGAAGCTGTGCTCCATCTGTAATTAGTCAGTGGTGCCGGCCTCCCGGCTGCCTTCAGCATTTTCCAGGGGTGCTGCGGGCTCGGCTCCGGCCTGGGTTCGTGTGCTCAGGTTCGTACTCTGCACCTGATGTCACTCGTGACTGCTAAGTTAGTAAAGCTCGTAAGCAGGCAGATAGTGAGCTGCGCACCTCAGTTCATACACATTCAACCCTTGCCATTATTCTCGCGCTTCTGCAGCTTCGTTAACCAGTGACTGCACCTCGTAATAGGGAGGCGCTCTGTCCTAGGCTCAAGGGTGAAAATGTTCAAGAGAGGATTCTTTGTGTTTTCACCGGCTCGCAATGTGCTAAGAAAACATCGGTAATTCAAGGATTGACTCTCAGCCATCCGGTTGCTACCTCACCTCGATCCTCAGACGTTTAGTGGCCTATAGGTCGAGCTACGTTCTCCTTCGGAAGATGTGATTGATATTTGGCTACCATGTCGACTTCCAACCCGACATTCCTCAATCAAAATACTCGATTCCGGCCTGCATCTACCCGCAGCCAATCCCGTTCTCCCTCTCGATCACCAGTCCGAAAAGCTCAATTTACGGAGCAAGAGATCGATCCTCTTCTAGGCAATTTGTCTCCAACTTCTACACTCAAAGCTCTCTCGTTGACTGACGTATTGCGCAACAATGAATCTAAAGATACGAACATCCTTACGCACAGTATCGGGGAAACATCTACAGACCAAAGGGCGTATGGCATCAAAGCAGCTCTAGCCGCGCAGAAACTGAGAGAATGGCATGCAGAGGTTCTGGGCTGGAAGTGGCCTGCGAAGAAAGACAGGAGGATTGGAAAGGGGTTCCAACCACGACTGCCCTTTTCACCAAAAGAGCAGACGAGCTCAGGGACGAACCAAAAAAAGGAATACCTTGGTAGTCTTCCTGCAACGGTCGTTGCGCAGCATGCAGAGAGGATTGAACAGATCAAAGACGGTCTTGAAGCTCTTGACGTTGATGGTCTGAAGGAGCATGTGTTAAGTGCGCACATCCCACCTAAATCACAAGATGGGAGGACCAATGGTTCGCATAGAGAGGTCAAGCAACTCTCCGACTTTACCGCCGTCATTACACACACCATGTTACAAGCGTTGCCCTATTTGTCGAAGCTCACAGCTTTGTTGAGCGATTGGGAAATTCGAATCGTCGTCTTGAAGCATATTCCAGAGCTGATGCGTTATTTGGAGAAGAGCGAGGAAGCTGTTCAATCTGCTTTGGATCAAGTCTGTGCCCGTCGCACGAGCGGCCTTCTGACCAGAACACGTTTTGAAGACACGAAAGTTGTACTTGGGAGGGATGTTCGGCTGCTTGGAGCAAGATTTGATAAATTGCTTGACGTACTTGAGGGGCACGAGGACACACTTCCCGAGACATGGATCGATCGGATGGACAAAGTAGAGACAAGTTTTGCCCAGTGGACTGTCGAGGCCGAACGACGAGTGCTTTATAACGAGTGGATGGAGAAGAATAAGATGTCTATGGTACGTCAACACAAGGCTGCCGAAGAATCACATCCTACAGCGGCTGGTTCTTTGGCCAGCGGCAGTGCCGTGGGTGCAGATGGCCAGCCAACAACCATGGGAGAGACAACCAGGAATGAGTCTCCTGTTGCGCTAAAGGCCAAAAACCTCCATACTAGGGACTCTATCAGAACGAATGAACAGCCAGAAGTAAATGAGCAAAAGATCCCATCAGCTACGATTTCAGAAGCGCGTACTCGGGCAACAAATGGAACATCAGTGAAACCATCCTCTTCCAATGGACAGGACGGTAAGTCAACGATGGTAGAGCCGCAGTCCTTCAAATCCCCAATGGCAGCTTCGGGCCCGGGAGACCAGTTCCTAGCACACAGGGAGACAAAGGAGAGATTGCAAACTCCTACATCTCAGCAGCTGGCACCATCAGTGACTCCTCCCAGCTTTCCGGTCAATGACAGGAGTCTATTCTCACCTGTATCGGCGAAAGACAATAAGAAAGAGATAAATCAGCAACGGCAGTCTCCCACCTCTACTGATAGCGATCTTGTGTTGAATAACAGAGCCTCGATGCAAAAAGATGATGCCCCTACAGAATGTTTTCCTATGCTTACAGACCGGTTCCTGCAAGAATATCAGCCGAATAGTCAGAGATTCGAGTCTGGCACCGCTGTACCTGTGTCCAAGATCCTAGAGCAAACCTACAGTCATCCACCCGACCACCAAAGCTCAAGCCTCATCAGCGGTCCACAGGTGAAGCAGCCTCAGACGTTGAATTTGCCACGACCAATTCATCGAAGAAAGGTTTCTGAGACTTCTATCGCCGGTTCCACGGTATCAGATGCTTTCTCCGACCTTTCAGATGCAGAAATTGCCGACGCTACCACCGCAGAAGCCTTGGGAAGCCCCAAAGTCGTCAGGCAACCTCTACGAACAAGTCAAGATAGCTCCTCCTCCGACTTTGGCACCCCTAAGGCTCGGATAGTTTCAGTGCATCATCCACACCATGAGGCGCAGACCAATGATTCTGCCGATAAAGTTCATAAAAAGGCTGCGAGGACAATGCCAGACAAAATGAGGTCTTCCTTCAATGTGCCTGTCAAGACTTCAGACACCGTTACTGACGGCGAAGAGGATGCCGATCCCCCAGAAAAGATGGCAAACCTGTCTATACCGGATCGGGTTCCATCGCGTCGTACTGTGATACATCGGGCTTCGGTTTCGTCAATGGAGAAGATACCAAAAAATCGCATCCGAAGTATTGTGGTTGGTCGAAAGGAAAGTTCATCGTCTTCCGTCATCTCCGCCGTCTCGCCACTTGACACAAGCGGGCCATATGGGGGGTCAGGTTCTGTGATGAGCGTTTCGCCCATTGAAAGAAGTCCGTCGAGATCTTTGAGTAAGGCGTCTTCTCGAAGAGATTATTCGGAGACGTTCGAGCGACCCGAGAGGAGTTCCTCGCTTACGAATGGTCGTGTCTTACAAACCTCAGACCATCGGACAGCTACACCTGAGGTTCCTCCACGGTCAAGCAAGCGGCTGTCTCCTAGTCCGATCTCCAATCTATTGTCAAGCTTGCCCACTGGCAGCAAAGACTTTGCAGCATTCAGGATCCAATCAAACGGACCACAAGTTGCGCATTCAGTGCTCCAAAGACGGCTCGCAGATCCCTTACCTGCAGGAGCTGATGGCCACGACGATCACAAGGCGCCATCCAAGGAAAAGGGTAAGGAACGTGAAGATCTACTCGAGTCGAAGATCCAGAATTTGCTCACGCGTATCCCTGCTCGCATTCGTCTGCTCTCAGATTCTGAAGCAGAAAGCCCCTCTCACCCTTCCACCACATCCTCATCCAGGTCTCAATCACCCATACCATCCTTGATTCTCAGCCCCGTAAAACCGAAACGCCGCCCGCAAGCTAACAACAGTACATTAAACTCCGATGTGCGACTCTTCCACCTAACACGGAGTACTGGGGCGCATAATACACCACCCACCAAACTCTTCGTCCGGCTGGTCGGCGAACATGGTGAAAGAGTGATGGTCCGTGTCGGGGGTGGCTGGGCTGATCTAGGAGATTATTTACGAGACTACTCACTGCACCATTCCAGCCGCGCTCACAGTAATGGTCAATTCGAGCTTGCCAGCTTACCAATCGGTGGTCAAAAGGACAGCCGTGTGATCCCGCTTGGACCAGAACTGGTCTCGAAAGCAACAGCCGCTGCACCCACTTCATCGAAATCTAAATCCGCTGCCGAAATCCGGCCAGGCTCAGCATTGGACAGCCGTCCTTCTGCGACCACTCCATTTGGTGTTCTCAAACCTACGAGACGTCGTCGCTCCACCTCAGCTACTGCCATATTCGACGCACGTGCACCAAACTCCAGCTCGACATCACTACCTTACTCGTTCTCATCACACACCGACCCGCACTGGGATACACCACCCGTACCAGCTATTCCTCAAGTAATGACCCTAAATCCATACTTTGGCGGCGACCCTCGCCTCAGTGGTCCGCCTCGACAGCCATCCGGCGCCGCGTCGTCGACGAATTCGCCAACAACAGCCACTCAACAAAAACAGCATCAGCGTTCCAAGTCTCAAGGAATAGTGGCGAAATCAAAATCCACCCCTAGCCTAAGTAGCCAACGAGCTAGTGCAGGCGGAGGCGTATTTGTGCTTACACCTACACGGCCCGCCACCAACAGGATTAGCGTTGACACTTCAGCTCGAAACGAAGACAAAGATGAAGAGATCGGCGGAGGAGCCCCTGCTCCAGCCATCGGTGGTACACACTCCTCCGCCTCAACGAGCCCCAAATCTTTCAAGAGGATGAGCTCCTTCGGAGGCGAAGGGGGTGGGATTCGAAGAGTCTTCTTCCGTAGGAAAGACAAGGGAGTTGTGTGACAGGGTCACTCAAGACCAAGTCGGGTCATTTCTTATCATGTTAACCCGATCGCTTGCTGCGAGACAACAGAAAACGGAGTCTATCTTTTTCTTGCTTCATTGAAGCAAGGGGAAGAAGTACATAGTTAGCGCGGAGCTGATTGGGATGGCCTGCCTGTCTCTCTGCCTGCTGGTAGTATAGTTGCATCGCATTACGTTGCGTGTTTTCTTGTACACTTACCTTTATCAACGATACGGTGATGGAGGTATGGAGGCGGAGCGTCTTGCCGGTCAGGCGGCTCCGGCCCATGGCTTTCATACTGCAGCAAATATCATCGAAAGAATACATAAGAACCCCTGTTTCCCCTTGTTCAAAAATGGGATTACTCCTATCTCCTTGTTGCTCGGCCTTTTTAAATCCTGCTGGCCAGATTGCGCTTCCTACATTTCCTTCTTCTTCTTCCATCACTAATCTAGAATAGGTGGGCATGCTTCAAAATTCTGAATCCACGCTGCCAGGCTGAGCAGGAGGCACTTGAGTCTTGAGGAGATGGTAGTTTGCTCTCCTCTCTCCCATCTCTTTTCCCTTTTCCCTTTTCCCTTTTTCTTTTTTCTTCTCCTCCTCCTTTTCAAGTTTATAAAGGAGCACTAACTAGTTAGAGCTATGTCCTCCCTCCTTGTATCACGCCCAAGGTCAAGCCATTCGCACCAAGTTTTGCTCTGCGGATAGGTTCAACTTACCTTGTTTTCTGTACGGCTGAGGAGGCGGGCATAGAGCAGAGAGATTCAAAAGCCCAGGTCGCTTGGATTAGCTGGGAGATAACGATAAGTAAAGTCGTCTTTTCTCCGGAATATCATCAGGTTGTGCCTGGTCTACGGCGTGATTTGTGATTGGTTTCTTTGATTCAGCAAAGGGACCGCAGCAAGCGCCATAACTCTTTGGTATGACATACTCCCCGGCATTCCGGGGTGGATGAGGGAGGGGGGAGGTATAATATTGCAACATGTAACATACTTGAGCTGCTGGCAGCGAACCCCGAAGCCATCATATTCATATTATTTATGCGCGTACGTAGTAGAACGTCAAACTCGAGCGCCATTGCACACACACGGTCGGGAGCACTCTTCAGAGAACTTCCAAACTCCAAGCACACCTTCAGAGTCTCGGCGGGGAAAGATCGGTTGGTAAGCAGGACCCGACCTGGAACTGGCCCAGGCCCGGACTTCCTCCCGTTCCAGTTTGCAATACACTGCACATCCCGGAGTAACTTACTAATGTATATACCATGAGGGGCTTCTCTGGCGACTGTTTCGGACTGGAACTGGACCTGGAACTGGACCTGGAACACAGGGTCTGATACACAGGGTCTGATACACAACCGGCGTGTGAGATGATGGGACCAATAAAAAAAAACTCCCTCACCCACCAATGGATGGAAATAAGTGGTTATCTTTCTTATTGGCGCATGGTAGTGGGTGAGTGAGATAAAAAAAAATCGCGCATGCAGCTAAGTGATGTCTCTAGGATAATTTCTTGAGGACGAATGAAAAGCAATCGCAAATCTGACTGGCAAGATCAACCGGCAAGGAGAGTAGTACAGACAGAGAGGGACGAGTAGAAAGAACGTGGGTGGGGGGATCTCAAGAGACCATAGGGGGGGGTTGGTTATCGGCCCTTTGGGAAAATAAAATAATCTGACCGGTGTTCTGTGTGAATGGGAGGGAAGAAAATTCATCAGTAAACACAGAGAGAATAAAAAAGAGGTGTTGATCACACGAAATGCGACAAGCTGGAGCAGGAGGCTGATTGTTCGAGACATGATTTGATAGAAAGTAGTGCTATTCAGACTTTTATCCCACCCTGGTAGATTTACAAGTTAGGCACAGTTGAGACTCCTTGCAGGAGGATTAATCGCCATTGCTACGGCCATCGTTATGGCCATCGCGGAGTGACTCAATCATCAAAATGATTGTAGACGCCAATGCACCCAAATACTCAGCGGAAAGAACTTCGCCTGCGCTTGTATGCAATGTATGCAAATCTGTCAAGTGCCATCAAAGAACGTCTCCCACTTCTCTATCGAACTCTCAACTTCCTTCCAAGGGTAGAGCCAAACTTCTTCCCACCCTGAGGCGCCCCGATACCAAGAACGCGATAGCTCTTTTCTCTCATCCTCGTTAAATTCGCTTGTTGCTTTTCTCTCTCCGTCATATCATCAGTCGTGACCATGCTGTCTCTCTGCTGTAGTGGTGTACGCTTTCGTACATATTCAGGTCTGGCGGTTGACGATTCAATCTCAATGGGAGAATGCACCTCTGCTCGCGAGGATGCTCGAGACGTCGGAGGCGAGTCGTGCAGGAGGATGGCAACTGCTTTTTCCACGTCAACGCCGTGACCGGTTTCGGACCGAGTCAATGCCCATTTCGCCGCTTCTTTGCCGAAGCCTAGTACGTCAACAAGATGGGTCATGGCTCGGTCAGCGGGGTCGACAATCTCATAGCTGTCGTTGGCGACTCTCCCGGAGGTAATGACCGGAGAAGCTACCGTGACATTACCAGTGCCGTTTGTTGGAATGTCATCTGCGGCCGTTAGAACAGCACTTGAGCTGGTGAGCACAGGAGTACGCGAACGGGGTGGCGTGGTTTGCTCTCTTGTGGTGGACTTTGGTGGAAATTGTCTCTCTTCAGTCGATGGTGGTTTGGGCATTGCCGCAAGATCTTGAGCTGATATGCGGGACGCCTCGTGAGGTAAGGCCCTGACCACCTGCGAGTACACCGACATAGGTCTCTCGTCCGAAAATGTCCAGGGCTCAGACTTGCTTGGCGAGTGCTGTCGCTGAGATCGAAGTTCTTCCGCAAATGCAGTCTGTCGACGTCGATCAAGCTCCCGAGCCTCCTCGGATCTCGTGACGCGATGCGACGCTTTTGAGGTACGCTGGGCCTTTCCACTCTTCGCCCTGAGCTCTTCTGCAAGACGTGCCTCGTAAACCTGCGCCATGGCTTCCTTAAAGAACTTGCTTCGGCTGCGACCTTGTCCAGGAGCAGGAGGAGACCACTCGGTCCATCCTCGATTCTTAGCGGTGGTGAAAGACCCGGGGGCAAGTTCCAGGATGCACGACGGACCGCACGTCAATAAGTACCACGTCCATTCCTCCAACAATAGCTCCTCGTCGCGCTTTGAATCGATTTGACATTTTTCATAGATGCCCACGGCGCGGGCTTCGCCAGTACGCCCATGAAAGGTCTGCACAAGCACACTCAGACAAGTCCAGAGCTCATTCATGTCGTACAGCTCGCTTTTCGATAGACCATCTCCGTTTCCAATGCCGAACGATGAAGAAGGGTCTTGTTCCCGAGCCAGCTCCCCACCATTAAGCCAGTCGACCTGTGCCTCAATGTCTTCGTCTTCACCCGCACTCCTTCCGAAGAGACGGCAGAATGTCCACACTCGCCAGAATGCCGCGTCAATTTCGGCTGACCGAGTTTGGTCAGCCCCAACGAGACCGGCGATTGTTACAGGTCTCAAAAATGATTCACATTGAACCAAAATGAGCGACTTCAACATGCCCATTGTGTAGATATCAACGCTATACTGGCGCAGGTAGGCAGTCGGAGTGAGTTGAGTCTCCTCGGATATCTCTCGAAATTCCCAGCCTGCGATCGAAGATTTGCAGAGAGTCGCTTTGATCAGATACATCTCGTGTCGCTTGAAGGCATTGTAAAAGCCCTTGTTTAGAGCCGCGGTCGCGAACAAGTCTTTGAGCGTCGTCATGTGGGACATGATGCGCAGGATGACGGTCTCGCAGACTTCTGCAGGGACGCTAGAGGACTGCATGGCTTGTGGCATCTCGGCATTGTTGATCACACAGTTTTCCTCCGTCTCAACTTCAACTTCAACTTTCTCTTTCTCTTTCTCTTTCTCTTTTGCTTTGTCCTGCGCATGCGACTGCTCGGTCTGACAAGTGCCGTCAGTGTCTGCGTCCGAAAATACAGAGTGAGAGAGATCCGCTGACGATCGCTCGGATGCCGTCCGATACCAGGTTTCTGATTCTTCAAGGCGAATGTCCGCCGTGTCCGATGCTGCTCCTGCCCATCTCAAATCATGACAAGAACGCGCCCTCTTTTGGGAGATGTCTTTGGACTGGAAAATGATATGGCCGGCCGAGTTACTTCGCACAATTGGTCGTCTTGGAACCTTGATGGCTCCACTATCCGTAGATCGAGGTACTGGTGGTGGTGACCTCAAGGGCTCCATCAGCATCAATCCTCGGCTGACTTGGATAGGTGTGTTGGGCCATGGGCCAGCTGATGCTGAACGTTGTTCGCAAATAGATGACAGGCGCCACTCGAGCTCTTCAATGGCTTGGTCTAAAGTTGGGTTCTTGGTGCTTGCAGCCTTCCGAAAACCGCCAAGTCTTCCAGTGTGGGTAGGCGAATAGCGAGATCGCGGCAGGTTCTCCTGTGCTTGGGTGATCCTCACTTGCCGCGGCTTGTAGGCTAACGGTGGTAATATGCTGGGTATTACCATTTGTGGTTCGGGCGGCAAGGGTTTGTTGATAGATGCTGCCATGTATTTCCTAGTCATGCTGCGAGTAGTTTGGGTGCAAGGCTCGTTGGTGCCGTCTTCGTCGTCTTCATCATCGGCATCATTGGATGGGGAAGGGCTAGAAGAAGATGCATTATCTTCTCGTGCGTTTAATCGGGCCATTTGATGCTCCCCCTGCTGTGCTGACCAATTTTGGAGCTGACGTGAATGCCTCATGCTAGATGACGCGCTATGCTTCCGAGAAAAAGAGGCAGCAAATGTCGGAAGCGGTGGAATTTCTTCTCTGGCTTGAGCAAGATCTGAAGCCTCCATGAAAAGAGGCACACTAATCGTCGAATATGGTCTCATGGGCATTGGCATGTCGATGGGAGTAAGAGGGGAGATGATGGAATATCGCATGGCTGGCAGTTGTGTAAGGCTTCGATACGTGGTATAAGATGAAGGGGAAAGCGGACTCATCAGAAGAGCAGCAGTGGTTGCACCGCTTCCGGGTAGCATATGAAGGGATTTGCTGCGTGGTATGGAGAGTGAGATTTTTGGTCGACGCGGCTGGTTGACGTCCATGGTGAATGATCGCTGCAGAAAGTCTAGAGTGGGCAAGGCGGTAGGGTCGTCCGCCTCACACAGCAGGACGGCAGTAGGGGTATGGGATTCTTCGGCGGGTGTGCTGGCTGTTGGAAATACCGCTTCCAGCTCGTGGACACTTGCATCATCGTTGAGCTCTTCAAATCTCGAGGAAGGCTGCTGAACTTGTTGTATCCTTGCAGCCAAGATAATTTCAAGCGTGTTAGGCACCTCCTCCACAACGGAATGTTTTTCAGTGGAGTGTGATGCGATGTGCATCTGTACCCGTTCGGGTAAGTCGACAATGACGGACTGTTTGTAGGAGTCTGTTTTATTCGATGTCGGTCGGGCTCTTTCGGGTAGAGGATGCTCGAACGGGTCGATAAAGAGCCTCGAGTTTGACTTGTATATGGTGGGAAACCGACGCGGACGTAACATGCCTGCTTGGGACTTGGTCCTGACCACCTCGATATTCTCGTTCCCCGATCTCCGAGACACACTCCATCTGCCAAGACGAGGCCGTGATATGCCATCGGTGAGAGATATCCTCATATGAAGGGATGGAATAGGATATTTTTCTCGGGTCCTCGAAACCGTCGCAAGCCACGCACTCTGTACTTTGGATCGATCCTTCTTTTCCTTGCTAGCCTTGCGCTTCTCCGGTGAGGAGAGTCCGGGCGCCGAAGCGCCTCCTCCCATTGCGCCTTTCGGAGCCATACTGCAGGCCACGACAGTGAGAAGACAACAACAACGAAGAGATGGATGTCGCCAACAATGAGCTTGTCACAATGCTCTAACAGCTGATCGAGGAGAGAAGTACGTGGAGGGCACTGGCAGGTGTCTCTGTCGAGTTGGCTGGTTGCTGGCTTAGTGGATGCTTGGGAGCTGATAATCTGTGGGGGCCAGTTGGAAAGTCAATACCCTGTGCAATCAGCGCTGACCTGGAAAGTAGTGTAGTGTTTTGGGGATCGTCATCTGCAAATCCTCTATCCTCAGCTCTACAGAAGTCGCTCTGATTGACCATAGGTAGCAGCGACAGTAACACAAACGCAATAATAAGGCTTAAAAGTCCAAGCTTGGTAACTGGGCGACCGCGCAATATGTGGGACATCCGGACTGTGGTCTCTGGTCCTGGTGGCACTTGGTCTGATAGAGGATCGCATCCATGTTGGTGCAGACCTCCACAACTACGAGCCAAAGGACTGATTAGGCTAGAAGGTCTATTGTCGGCAGTAGTCTTGAAACGCTTTCCAGAAGGCTAGCTGTAGGCGAAGGTGACGAACAATTCGTTAGATGCACGAAGGGATTGGCATCTGCACCCAATCACTGAGCAGTGGAACAGGCTTCGAGGGAAGAACCGTGTGCTACGCCATCTTTGCCCGGCCACGTTGAGATCATCGTCTGAACCACTGTCGCAGACATGGGTTTGGATGGCCTGGATATAGCTTGACTCCGCGTGGTGAACCAGTGAATAAGCGGTGCGGTGCCAGGAAGTGCATTTTTGGATTTGTGTGTGGGTAGCTAGGCTGGCCTAATGAGGCTTCGGAAGAGCTAATAATGGGGGAGGTAGAAGAGACTGGAGCGACGAGAAGAGCAGCCGACCAGGATTCGCTGCTGCTGACTTGGCCCCCTCGTGCCCCTCCCTCACCATCTTAATAAATCACACAACCTCCAGATCCAGGTGTGACACAACAGACATGTCAGGTTACGAGCTAGAAATGGTAGAGCGGGAGAAGAAAGCCAGATTTTGGCATAGTTTCTCGGACGGAGAGTGCAATGCCTCAGAAATCCCGCTGGGGTTGGCGGCATGACTGGCTAACTTCTCCGGCTGCCCATGCATGCTGCATGCAACCACTAAATATGTCGGATGACTTGTCGCAATTGTCATGGCCCTGCTCCTTAGGTAGGCTTCTTTGCAGGTCCGAAGTCTCAAGTGGCTGCCTTCTCTGCAGGAGAGGTCCCGTTTCACATCAGGATAACGGGCGGACGTGCAGACAGTAGATGTATGCTCTTAAGCTGCCTCCATGGGTACGGGTACCTACCAGGTCTATACTTCAACCTGCTTCTCCAGGGTTACGAAAGCCATCTTCGGGAGCAACTTGGTGTCGAAAAAGGACACCAGCAGATTTCAACACAGATCCAGAATGGTCTATCGGAACCGAAGGACATTTACTGTGGTAAGAGCTTTAGGATTCAGAACACAGTTTGGTAATAAATGACTAAAAAGCCACGCGCCGAGCAGCTGTTGAACATTTAAGATGAAGGGAATTGATCAGCGGCCACATTGCTATTGGTCTTCGACATTTGGGGGGTTTCTGACTCACCACCAGTAGCCCTCCTTCGTGGCATCTCTTAGGTGATCATACTCAAGCGGAAGCACAGGAATGCCTTGAGGAAGGGGACGTGTACCAACGCAAGCAGCTGGTTTGCCTGGAGCGGTGGTTACTGTGAGCTCATAGCAACTGACACAGCATCGTACACGTAGCTAATCGTGTATTTTCGCTTGACCATGGTTTGATCTATCACCGGATGCAGTAGCCAAGCGCTCAGATCCGGCAAATCCTAGGAAGGCGCTTTTCTTAAGCTTCTTCATCTAACGCTGATTTGCATGTGGGTAGCTCGTACTCCGTACCTGCCGGGGTCTAGTCGAATGATGAGCATTGAGGTCACTGCTCCACGCGTGGTCTATTGCAAGGGATTGTCTACTACGTAGGTTTGTTGGTCCCTTCAACCACTAAGCGGAGAACATCCGGAATGCTAGGGACAAATTGCGAATGACATAGCCAATCGGATGAGCATCGCATGCCGACCACCCTCGGCACCTTCCGGCATGTATCAAAAATTCCCAATTGTTCCCAATCGTTTCCCAATTGTTGGTGGCGAGCAGTTGGGATGGGCAAGGGTGAATGCTGCTGTAAGGAAGATATCTATTCGAACAAGACGTTGTGCTGAAGCCTCATGGTGCGGCAAACAGGCTCAGAAAAACACCCCAGAAGACGCCAATTGTGCTGCCAACTAACACTCGGTGTTTGAGCGGCACAACTGTGAAGCACAAGAGAGACACCAACGGCCAAAGTCTCCAGCCAGCAGCTAACAAAGGCCAGACATCCTAGCGCACCTGGTGTTAGGGACCAACAATTTTTAAATCGTAATGAGCACAGCATGGATAACCTACTCGTTGACAATCATCCCAAATTGTTGAAGAATCTTTTCCCTTTAGGGCGCCAATGCCCACAACAAAGAGAAGGCTGTTCACGATGGCCCCTACGGTTTGATCCAACACAAACTTGACGGCGGTGTTGTGCTTGTGAAGCCTTTTGATACCCTTCTCGTCGATCTGGTCCCCTGGGTAATTTTCTTCTAGATATTCTTGCCATAGGACGTTGGGCGGCGTGGCAATCAGGGAGAAGACAACAAACTGTAGCAATGTCCTGTAATCCAAGGAGAGCGGCTGGTCGGTACGATACGCTTGGATGGCCTGGGCTAAAAGATTGGAGAGGCCGGCTAGAGCCGCGGCCTGTATAGTTGGGTTGATAATAGCGGAAGTCATCTTAGCATGGCAAGGTAGAACTGGATAAAGGTATTGGTGGCGACCTGCAAGCTGAGTGATGATGGGCCTGCACACCGAGACCCAAATAGCAAAAGCTCAACTAAGAACAGTAGGGACTGAAGAATTGATGGAGAAGTACCCTGTCGGGTTGTTTTGTTGGTTGGCAGATGTGCTGCCGTATGTAGGAAGGAGGAAAGGAAAGGAAAGTATGATCAATGTTTTCGATTGGGGTTGTGGTACACCAATTCCCATCAGCCATTCTTTGAGCAGGTCTAAGGAAGTCGGCTGTATTACATTGCCTGTTCCATTCACAATGTGCTTCATCCTTCATTTTAGAATCACACTGGGTGCAATGGTGATGTGATGCTTGTGGCCTTGAGAGAGTATGGAATACAGCAACGCCTGACACTGTACGCTTGTGAACTATGGAGTGTTCCTGCCTCATCACTGGGCTCAATATATCCCATTAACATTAACAAAGATGTCCATGCTTGGTATATTGATGCCTCTCACACAAAGAAGTTCTTCCTAGATTACTATTGATCACACTTCCCCAATTTCGGATCTGGATCTGGGTATACCTTGTTTTATTATGCCCATGGCTACCCGGTTCACGACTACATTGATTGACGATTTGAATGTTGGCCATCAGTTGCCAGAGCCTGTCCATGTCCATTCATATCCTGCTCATGCTCCCCTGTCACCGCCGCCTACTGTCAAGAAACATACTTCCAATTTCTCGAGCGAGTCATCTCCTGATCAGGATAGCGGGGGCAAGTCCTGGAGATGCATTCCTAATCCACTCGTATCAAGCCAAAGACTTCGCTGCACCCGAGCCAGATGCTGCTTTGTACTGTTCGTTCTGGTTGCCCTAGTCTGCTGGTGGAGAAGCAGGATTCAGCAAGATTTCGAAATCATTAAACAAAAAAAGAACCTGCTGGCGAAGAATTTGCGACTGTCTCCTATGCTCGATGGCTTGCAGTTCTTACCAGCCAATAATCAGCACATCCACGTGAGTGGTGGAAGAGCTTCTTAGAAACTTTCTCAGCTGATGGCATCAGTATGTAGGCAGGTGGGCGTACACCTCTAATCGACTTCGAAGGGAGAGTCACTTTCCAGGTAAGGGAATGGGCCCGGCTCATTTATCAGCCTTCTAACATGGATGCAGGGGCTTACCTGGAATTTGTGGTGCACAACTGTTCATCAGTATATCTGTTGCTTCACAACAGCGATCTTCTCAACAACGGGCAGGAAACTACACTCAACACAAGGGACATATCTCAAGCCAGCCACCTAAATCACCTCCCGATCTCCGCAAAGACAAGACCAGCTTCCCCAGTCTCTCTTCTGTCCCGCATTGATAATAGCGAGTACCAATACTTCAACCAAACTGGTAAAGGATTGGTGGCCATCGCCACCGGCAATTTGGAGCCGTCAAAAGAACACGTTATCCGCATCATAAGTCCCAGAGTTGATGGCGAAGAATATGCTGGGATGCAGTTCACAGGCATATGGTTGAACAATGGAGGGACATTAGTCTCTCCGCAGGAAAGGCAGATGACCACTCAGCCAGCAACGGCACCTGATGCAACGTCAGCACCAACCGAAGATCTCACTCGGTACCCAAAGTACTCAGGGTACTCTAGGCAGTACTTGGAGAAGGACAAGATCCAAAACCAAAGGGGTAGAGATCTCAACGACAACCAATCCCAAAACTCATTCATGCTTCCTCAGAAGACTCTCGAAATAGTAACAGATGTCCCTCACACCCTTCGAGCTCAAAACATCAATAGCAGTCGAAATGTCTTGCAGGGCTGGCAAGACCTGGTCGGGGATCTGTTTGGGGTCGATCATGTCAGTATCATGCTGAATCATATGTGTGTTACATCTCCATGTATAGGCGCCGCAGCACAGCTTGCCAATATCAAGGACGCATTTTTTCGAAGGTTTTGCCCCAGGTCTCCAAGATTTACCGATGGCTGACTGCTTGTCAAAAGTGGTCTGCCCGGTTCGTCATCATTTGCCAGATCTTGGAATTTCCGTTCATACATTCCAGATGCCATGGTATGGCAGAAAGTTGATTTATTCCCAGCAACGGCTAACGTGGTCTAGGTACTCGTCTTAGGGGAGTCAGATGAAGTGTCGTTCCGAAAGCATACAAGTGGATATGGAAAGACAGTGCAGGAGTTACGGCGGCAATTTCAAGACAATTACGTCAATTTCATCCAGGCAATTCGAAGAGCAGCATATCCCCTTCATCCTGCAGCTCTTCACGATTATTCTTCAAATGCGGACGGATTTGTGTACAATTCTGCACCAGCAACTACACCGATATTTGTGGTCAGCCCATTCGCTGGGGAGCTGCGTCTCTCAACATGGAAAGTGGTCAAAAGACTGCAAGCAGAAGGAGATAAGGCTGTATTTTGGCTAGACACGTCTGGATGGTTCTGCTCTGCAGATTTTGAAACCGAAGTTGACGGTGGCATACCAAACGAGAAAAGGCCACAGCTGAACATTCAGGGCAACCGAAAAGCAGCTGTATTCTTGCATGCCCATCTCTGCCATTACATGGCACAAGATCATGTGCAGTGTCCATTTCTGAAGCACGAAGCGTATTCTGGCAAGGTATTCGTTCCAAAAGACGTTGAGCTCGAACACTTTATGGAAGACTCTAAGGTCAGGAAGCTGAAGGCTCTGTTCATGCCAGAGAATAGAGTGGTCCTGTAGGATGAAGGGCGGAAGGGCACGACTGAGGATTGTGGTGCAGTGCTCAAGAAAGGAGTGTTGCATGGCAAGTTGCTGTCGCCTATTCAGTTGCAGCCCTGGTGCAGAGGTGGCTCAATGAAGATGGTGCTGGGCGTTCACGCGGATCTTAGGAAGCTCAACAGAGCATTGAAGACGTAAGCATCTTGTTCGCAATCCTTCGTACATACAGCATCACCCGGGTGCGCTCCATATATTTTAAGATGCTTCTTGAAGGGACTGTGTATGGAAGGGGAACTTATGCATTACTGTGCAAGTCCTGTGCACGTCCTGTACTCGTAGCCGGCTGTGCAACCTTAGGGCCGAGGGCGCGTTGCCCCCCTCTTCCCCGCGTCATCTGGATCATCTGGAACGCTGTGGCCTGGCTTGCTTTCGTGTATGATTCCTTTAAGACAGTGACGCAGCCAGACTCCAGTGACTGGGAATATGCAGCATCAACTTTCGAATGCGTTCACATTAACCTATATATAACACTTCCGTGCCCTAGATGACTGCCTCAAACGTTCAGACAGCCTCGGGCGACCCACCGTCGCCTTCTGCCTCTTTCTATGACTTGAGCGATGACGAGGAGGGAGACTACAACACAATCGCGCATTCTAGATCCGAGAGAGGCGTGAAGCTGCTCTACTCCAAGAGCAAGGCATGGCAAATTTCGGCCTCCAGACTATTAGCATGGTCAATACTGACAATTCGATCAGGTCTATGTCCATCCCACACCTTCCGCCAAAGACAATATTCCTGGCTTCATTGCACTGATTCAACAGAAGCCTACGCAAGAGCCAGTCGACACGTCTCCCAGCCGACCTAGCGCATCTGGATCCAGGACGGTTTCCTCATCTTCTTACCTTCTCGCTTGGGTACCAGAACGATCCCTTGCGCAGGATGACCTCAACTCCTATGTGAAAGTTGACATGAGCGACAACGAGTCACCCCCTAAACAGACATACCTTGTTCATCCACTGCCTACAGCTACCATCTCAGATGAGTCCAGCATCGGCACCTATGCCTTCGCGCTTGCCCTGTCCAACATATATTCTCTTCTAATACGCCCACCGAGCATGGGCTGGTGGTACGGCAGTGTCGTCATCAACACACGCTCCGGCTCGAGCCTCCCTGCTCTCTTCTTCCACGATGCAGAGTGCGAGAGCACGATCTTGCAGAAGAAGAAGCGGGCCAGGGACTCCTTTGACCCCTTCGGGGAAGATGGTCTCTTCTGGGGTGGTGATGAAGTCCTGAGATGGCTCAAACGATATGTCAAGGTTGTGCGAAGTGCTGCGGATCCCGGCGTCTATCTCGTTGATCCTTCAGAGGAGGACAGCATTGGGTTTGGCCAACCTCGGACGTCTGCCGAACTGCAGAGGCCAGAGACTAAAGAGCAGAAAACCCCCGAGCAGAGAAGGCCCGCATCGAACCAGTCCGGACCAGGAATGGATCCGTTAACCAAGGCACTGAAGGAGACGAGGTGGAAAATTCTTGAACAGTTGTCAAAGGTGACAACATTCACCCGCCGTACTGCACAAGATATTGCAGATAATCCCAAGTTACCACCTCAAGTAAGGCGCCTGCTTCATAATCCCGAGGTACAAACACTGCAAGATGAGTTCGATAGTGCTAGGCTGTATCTGGCCAGATGGGCAATGGGGATCGCTGAACAGAGCGAGCGGGAGAAAAACCAAAGGATATGGACTGCCAGAGATGTTCTTGAGATGGAAGAGAGCAGCGTAGGGGAGTTTGAGATTCTTGATATGGAAGCAGGCCGTATGTCCTTGGGTGGAGATCAGAAGCGGAAAGCTGTTGGGATGAAGGAATGGACTTCGTTCTTTAATGCCAAAACCGGCAAGCTACAGGTCACGGTTGGTGAGGTCAAGGAGCGCATCTTCCATGGCGGTCTAGACCCAGAGGACGGAGTGCGAAAAGAGGCTTGGCTGTTCCTTCTGGGGGTTTATGACTGGTCTAGTGACAGAGAAGAGAGGGCATCTCTCCTCAACTCAAAAAGGGATGAGTTCATCCGACTGAAGGGAGCTTGGTGGGAGAGAATGATCGAAGGTGACGCCGAACGTGAAGAAGAGGAGTGGTGGAAGGAGCAGAAAGGCCGTATCGGTAAGACCATACCACGACAATCTCCTATGACCCCCATACCAGTCCTTTCTGCTCTGACGAACAGCACCTGATTTCTTGCTGACCTTGGAATCCGCGCAATAGAGAAAGATGTCCATCGCACCGACCGTCACATTCCCCTCTTCGCCGGTGAAGACATCCCGCACCCTGATCCTTCCTCCCCATTCTACGTCTCCGGCGGTAATGGCACGAACGTCCATCTCGAACAACTCAAAGACATGCTCCTAACCTATCTCGAATACGATAAGCCGTCTACATCCTCTCGAACCAACGTCAGCAACCCGCACCCCCAGAATCTGGGCTATGTTCAAGGAATGTCCGACCTCCTTGCCCCCATCTACGCCGTAATGCAAGACGATGCGATCGCCTTTTGGGCCTTCGTCGGCTTCATGCGCCGCATGTCTCGCAATTTCGTCCGCGACCAATCCGGCATGCGCACCCAACTCACCACGCTAGATCAGCTCGTCCAACTCCTCGACCCGAAGCTCTACCTCCACCTCCAATCCGCCGATTCCACCAATTTCTTCTTCTTCTTTCGCATGTTACTGGTATGGTATAAGCGCGAGTTCGAATGGGTCGATATCCTCCGTCTATGGGAGGGTCTGTGGACGGATTACCTGTCTTCGCAGTTCCACCTGTTCATCGCGGTGGCGATATTGGAAAAACACCGCGACGTTATCATGGGCCATCTGAAGCATTTTGACGAAGTGTTGAAGTACGTGAATGAGTTGAGTGGGACGATTGACCTGCCCAGCACGCTTGTTAGGGCCGAGGGATTGTTCAGAAGGTTCGAGAAGACGGTCGAGGCGGTGGATCGCAAGTCGCATTTCCCGGGCCCGGGTGGGACTGGATCTAGCACGAGGCAGAGGAGGGTCATCGAGGGGAAGGGTCAAAATCCTAGCACAGAGGTGACGGCGCCGCCTGCATCGTTGGGTGGCAGTAACAGGACCGATTCTGCGGTCACGACAGGAAATGATGCTAAAGGTGCTGGCGCTGGTGCGGAGAAGGAACAGGTCATCAGTCCCGAGTTGAGGGCTCTGCTGAGCAGGAAAGTCGTGGTGTTGGATGACGAGGCCAATGATGGTGACGATCATGGGGTGGCTGCTTCGGGTAGCGGTGGTGGGACTTCACGGTAGTAGTCTATGCATGACATTTCGTTTTGATAAATTAATATGATGAGATTATCGATCAAGTTGCGCAAAGGGAGGTAGTTGGTAGGAACTGCTTTAAAAGTGTGAAACCATAAAAAGCAGAGCTCATAGAGCATCGAGCCGTTTAATTCCCCCCAACTGGCACCCTCTCTTCTATGTAAATACTTTTAGCTCGGGAGAGCTGGCATCCCCCGTCAGCGTCAGGCAGGTCAGGGTCCAACCACTCTAACCTCCAGGTATGATTTATGCATATCACAACGAGTCGGGTACATCCGGTGGGCTACCGTACCGTGCTGCAGCGCACTATTCCGCAACATCAAGAGCAAGTTATCAGCGAGAGAGAGAGAGAGATCTAGAGAAGCGGCTTTCCATCACCGCATGCGTAAGATGCATATACGTGCTGAAGAAGCGCCGGCGGCGTCGAAGTGGAGAGATTGATTGAACTGAACCCCCCTCCCCACCACCAAGCCCACGGGTCGTACCTGATTCTTCATTCCGTTCTTCTCCTGCTGCGGAAAAGCATAGTAAGTCGGATCGAAAGCCACTTTTGTTGATTGCTCAAGCTATCTGTTCATATGTACGTCCCCCCCCCCTTTGGCCTATCCTGAAGCCGGCCCCCTTCCCTTTCCCTTCGGTTGCATTCCTTGGACCTCGCTTCCCACGCCTGCAATTTTCATGGCGCTGTCATGACTCATTTTGTTTGACCGGGAAGAAAGAAAAAAAAGGGGGTTACGTACAAAAGAATGTTTGCTGTGAGAAAAGACAGAAAAAACGTACAGAAAGCCTCCCCACACCCAGCGCTTATGCATGCTTCAATTTTTTCTTTTGGCGGTTCACTGCAGAGCCCATCTGGAAAAATCATACAGGTCCGCCATTTTCTCCTCACCGCCGCCAGCCTTCCTCCCCTGCCGCCTGCCCTCGCCGGTCAACTCTCCTCTCCCCTCAGGATACAGACTCGGCCTCCCTCCCGGCCCCGCCTTCCCATACCCTGCGTACAGCGCCACGCCCCTCTTGGGCTCTGGAGCAGCGGTGGCAGCTTCGCGCGTCACACGATCGCGGAGGCTGCGGATTTCCTGTAGACGGTTGCGCCAGGAGGACATGTGGTCGGAGCTTGGGGAATCGCGGTCGCGCCAGGCGAGGGAGAAGACGCAGGCGTTCAGGGCGACAAGGCGAACGAAGCCGGCGAGGTTGGCGGAGGAGATGACTTTGGGGTCGGAGCAGGGTGAGATGCACGGGAAACCAGGAGCGGTCAGGGTGTGCACTGTGTAGAATTGAGGGTGTTTGTTGTTGGGGTTTGTAGATGAGGAAGAGGCGTTTACTGTAGTTGTATTGGTAGATGCCGGAAAGGATTCTCCCATGTCAGCTATCCTTGATGCGGGTGTAACGACGATGTTGATATAGTTGAACTGCGAGCTAAACGTGTTGAATTCAAAGACTTTGCCAGATCGGTTGAAGATGATGTTGACGTGGTCATTGCCGATGTGCATTTTCTTATTGGTGCACTGCGGGTCATCTTCGAGGCTGGTAGGCATCATTGTGGGTACATGATAGACTATCTCTGTCACTCGATCGCGCCAAGCGTAAGCATACTCGCCGTCTGTGTCACTCCTCAATCCTTGAGTATTGAATTTGGCGCTGTCCAATCTCATCTTTGTGCCCAGCCCATGGAGGAATTGGTCGAAATCCGCAGAGCCTTGGGTATTCGCAAGTATCTCTGATTCCTGGCTTTGGCCTGGTCCAATATATATGACGCCGGCCTTGTTGCTGTCCACAGTTGGGTTGAGATCGAATGCTTTTAACGCTCGCTGGACGTAATCGGCGTCTGGCAGTGGAAGAGGTTGTGAAGCAAGGCTGGTAGGAGCGCAAGTTGTCACCAGCTGAAGTAAAATATGTTGAGGCAGCATTGCCGTTGGAAGTGTAGTCTCGGGCCGAATATCAGTGATGAGCGGTGCATGATGCGGTGGCGGCTCAGCAGTAGACTGTTGGTATATACTGTGAGTTGTGCCTGACGCCTGGCGTTTGGTTATCTGCGAAAGCCCTGTCGAACCAGCTGTCTCAATCGTGACGATGCTCAGACCCACCAGCCATGACGTGACCGTGACAGAGCCGTCAGATTCTCTCGCAAAGTCAGGACGAGGAAGCGTTTCTCCCAGATCTGAAAATGCTGTGCGTTGCATCATGTCGATAAAGACTTCGCTCTGCTTCTCCATCTGCTCATTACCATCGTTGTCCACAGCGATCAAGGACTTGATGATCCAAGGCACGTGTTTGGCTCGTTCTGAGAGCTTCAGGGATAAAAACCAGAATATCATCGTCTGATACGCCAGAGCTGATACATACTGCGGTAACTCGATGGCAGAAAGAATCTTGGCCCTGAAAGGCGGAACAGTGACTCCGCTCAGCCTTGTAGCAGTGGCTTCCGCCTTCGCACCAGCGGAAACAGGGGTTTGTGCTCGACGGTCTCGCATACTCTTGATGTAAGCAATGCAGATGCCAAAGATGTGCCGAATATCGTCTCCATGTAAGTTGGTATGAACTTCCGGCAGCCGTGCGAGACCAGCGAAGAACTCTAGAAAGTGCATGGAAAGGTGTGACTGTGTTGCATTCGTCTGAATCTTGTGAAGAATACTGGACAGATTCTTCGTTACGGACGCAGGGATCTCGAAACAACAGATCGACAAGGAGTGAATGCATCCACGAGAAGTGCCTTCGAATGAGCCAACTCCCGCCACAAACGCTCTTACAAGCGCATCGCATTCATTTCTGCTAAAGTGGGCTTTGTACGCGATCAAAGGTGTCATAGCATTGAAAATGCAAAGAGCAACGTCACCCTTCTTGAGTCCTGTTGCTGTGGGCGGTTCATGGAACGAAGTAGTCCGCACTTGCTCGTAGAAGACGCTTCTCAAGAACTGTATCTGCCGGATCGTGCCCTCGAAGAGAGTCACGTTGGAAAGCTGGGCTCCGGTGTGGACGATGATGTAGCTATACGTCTCCCAATCTGAATCTTTCTGCAGGCAGGTAATGATAGACTCAAGCCAAATGCTAAGTTCAAGCTCCATCGGCTTCCGTCTTTCTGAGCCCACGTCGATCTCAGATCCAGGTGCAACGACAAACTCGCTGGACTGGCGGTCCGGTACGTGCGGCAAAGCCGGAACTCCTGGATATATCCACAACGGTGGAGTCGGTTTCGGTCGTCGCGTCGCTGAACCACTACTCCTCGAACTGCCGTGCTCTTCAGAGCTATCAGAGGCTTGTGGAAATTTGGCAGCTGACTCATCTGTTCTGCAAAGGGCAGCTGCCAGATTCTCACTGTCGGAGGTTTCCGAAATGTAGATCCGGCCTGTTGAGTCACACCGAATTCGAAACAGCAATCTCATAGCGGCGAGCCTCGCTTCTGTGGGGACTCCAAAAGAGTTTGCGATCTCGTTCAGTTTCCGATAGGCAACATCCGTCCGACCCACATGGACTGTGTTCAGGGAACGCATGAAGATTGAAACTAATCCTCGAGCGCCGATTTCAGCACACTGTGCCACTTCTATGGATGCCGGTTCTCGGAATATTACTTCTGCGAGATCACTACACGTCTGCTCCGTGAAATGCCTGGCGTCATACGTCATGACTGCTCGGATGGCTGTATCGACCACTGCTTGCAGAATCCGCGGGTTGGTTTCGGTTTTGATCATCGTCAACAATTCTTGTACGAGATCAATGGTCGTTGTTCCTTCGGCGCTACCAATATGGTCTTCATCTCGGTTGGAACAGGTCAGTTCAGGAGACCAAAGAGCGTTTTCCACGATGTCGATAGCGGTAAGCCGAACATTGATCGAGACGGTAGAACTCTGAATCATTTTAATCATTTGTAGAGTGTCCTTCCTCCAGTGCTCATGATCTTGCTCTTTCAAAATATCCTTGCCTGCGTAGCCCAAGACGCGCAAGGACATCTCGGGCGACTGTTGCCCTGCATATGCTAGAAAGTGATTGAAAACAAGCGACCGCTTGAAGCCAACTGAGGATCGCAGTATTCGTTCTAGAACAGAATCCACCATGTCTCTAATGGTGGTAGGAGTGCCGTTTCCCTCCAGCTTCATCTCTCTAGATGAACGCACCGAGCTGGCCGAACCCTCCTCGGTGGCTTGCTTCCGAATCTTAACCGCACCATATGCAGCATCAACAATCTCCATGAATATCGCGAATTGCTCGTTGGGACCCTCTACGATGGAGGGTTTCTGCTCGACAAGAGTGACACAAAGCGATAAAAGAGCTTCATTCACTCTTCCACTTTGCAGCCTAGTCGCTGACAACAACGAAGATAGTAGCTTGCCAGTCGATACCGCTGCCGTCGACTCGCTTCGTATAACTTGTTGAAAGATCTGTATAACTCCCCTTGCAGCATTGGTCGTGGTGCTAAGTTCGGAATTGTCGAGCTTACTAGTATCTGCATGCAAAAAGCCGTGTAACACTCCGACAGCAGCCGGGCCTTGAGGGCTAGACAATATGAGATCAAGACACTCGCTGAAATGCGCAGGCAGCTCTGCAAAGGAACCTCGAATGCCGCATAAAAGGTACAACGACTTTCCAAAAACGGAAGCTGGGCAGCCGTATCTAGAGTAGACGGACACTAATAGCTTAAGAAGGCGATCAAAGTCGACTGCAGCGCCACTTTTGGAGCAAACATACAGAATAGACTCGATAAGGACCACAATATCTTCTTCAGCCAGTCCTTGATGATCGAGCTTCAAGTAGTCTGTTGTATAAGCACAAATCCAGTCAAAGTCGTCATCTTCAGGCACAAAGGTCCTCTGGGCTTTTTTGGTCGGGATTTTTCGCTTCTGTAGTCGTGCCGTATGGGCCCTATCAAACCACATTCTCACCCACTTGGACAGGACCGGAAGCATTGAAGGATAGGTCGGGCTTGTACCATTATCTTCAGCTGTATCAATGACCCTAACAGCCACCAGCTTGAGTGAGACGTTGCTTCCCGGGCGTAAATCCTTGAAGCTTGTCAGCCACTGTTTTGCAGTTTGCGGCGAATCATCGTAATCTTGACTAAGCGTAAAGAGCTGACTAAAATCGATGTTCTCTGATTTCATGTGGTTCACCAAATAAGGCCAACTCTGCCCTGTGCGACGACGCGAGCTTGTTTGCGATGTGCTGGTGGTACCGAGGTGTGATGCTGAAAGGGTACTTGCTGGTCCGTAACCGCTTGTTGGCTCAGAAGCTGGCTGATGTGGAGAAGCATGTTTCTTAGACATACAGTGTCCCTTCAACGAATATCCACTAGTTGAGAGAGAATCAGGATATAGTGCTTGTCGGCTTCGGCTCAATCCTACCTCTTGAGAACTGGTGGGCAGATCCTAAAGTCTGTCAGCCTTCCGAACAAGCCGAAGTCAGGCATGCTGTGATGGGAGGTCTTTACAGAGAGGAACAAGAGTCCCTGTAATCGAAGAAGCAAAGAAGTAGAGGAATAAAGCAGCTGTCAATAAAGCAGACATGATTCCTCAAAGCTGGAAAGGGAACTATCACACCTTGTCCAAACCAGGCAACGGTCAGCTATGTCCCAGCACACCAACTTCAGAGGGAGCTTATCAGGCTCCGCCAGTATACCCCAGTCCTCGCCAGACGGTCAGAATGCTCGACCACGAGATTAGAAATCTGAGGCAAAATGCGATGCCATTCATACGGAATAAGGTTTAACAGCTTTCGGTGCTTTTCGCGAGTCTGCATGTGATACCTTTCTTCTTGGATGTGCGTGAGAGATGGTCATGTCAAGTGGCGCTGGTGGTCATGGGTTTGGTAATGTTAAAAAAGAAAAGCCTGATAGCTTGCCAGATGACTATCTAAGAGATCTTCGCCTAGGGCGGACTATTAAGGCCAAACCGCCAATTAAACTTCCAACTCCGCTGACGGTCTAGTTAGAGCTGTAGTTATCTTCACAGAAGAAGGGCCATCTCTAAATCAGTTATCAATATTTCACTATTCGGAGAATTCTGGGCATCATGCTACTTCTTGTACGTTTGATTCAGCGCTGGATTCGGCCTTGGATGTGGCCCTGAATTGGCCTTGGATTTAGCTCTAAATCAAGGAGAGGGATGTGTCTACCGCTGCTCTTGTACGTTTTGATTCGGTCTGGGAGTAGGGAGAGGAAGGGGGATTTCTTGCTTCTGACGTTACTGTTGTATGTTTCACTTGATTCATTTAGTTCTTAATAAGAGATTTATCCTTGAATTCATAAGCTCTGTGAGCTGCGTAAGCAGTGCATCGCCGCTGCAATTTAATGACCCGTCAGTCTGAAATTTGAATTGGCCGTCTGGCTGAATGACTAAAATGTCCCTCTGACTCAGAGGGGCAATAGGCTATCTAGTAGTACGGAGTACGGAGTATAGCTAGTAAATAGCTAGCTTTCAACTAAATAGAGTGGCTGAGTATCGATGACATTTGAATTCAACACAGCCCTCATTTCTGGGAAACCTTTTACGTCGTTTTTGAAGGTTCCCATGGACCATGAGCCACTTCTTTTTTGGCTAACGCCCAACACCACAAAGCGGGCCACCCCACAAAGCGGGCCAATTTCGGGTCACCCACAAAAAACCACTCTCAAATTTCTAACGCTTATTACTCCACCAATTTACGTCCAAATGGCCTCAAACCAAGAGCAATTGATTCAGCAGGCGTTAAATGACCTAGATGTAGGTGCTGAGAAGTCAATTCGCAAGGTAGCTGCCAAATACAGGGTTTCAAAAACGACTGTGGCTTACCGACGCAGAGGTCGCAACCCACGTACGCAAGCCAATCGCAGGACTCAACGCCTATCTTTAGAAGAAGAAAAAACTCTAATTCAGTGGATTCGAGATCTACAGCGGCAGAATCTATGCCCAAATTACCCTAGAATTCGCTCTTTTGTGTACGAAATCCTGCGAAATCGAGGCGATTCGCGGCCCCTGGGCAAGAACTATGTATCTCGCTTCATTTCTCGCCATTCAGAGCTTCGAACAAGCAGATCTCGAGCTATGGATATTAAGCGCCTCTCTGCGCTTGATCCTACGGTTATAG